TATAAAAGTTGAGCTTTCCTGTACAATACATACATGCTTTCATATCTCAAAACCTCATCCTGTGGGTTCATTAATATTCCTGCACTGAACGTATGAAGTGCCAAAACGCCAAACCTAAGTCAGACTTTGCTTTTATCAATATACTGAAAATAAAACAGTACTGCCTAAGCAGATTCACTCAAAAAGGTCGTCTTGTACATTGAAGAATCCCATCCTTTTTGCCTGCTGCTTCCAAGAAAACCCTGCAACCATAAAGAAAAAGATCCAACAATAAAACGCTTTCCCCAGCTTGCTTTTTCTTCATCTGCTGTGAACAAAGGGCACAAAAAGGAAGGATGAGGAAGGGGCACCAAGTAGCAGTTACGATTATTCTCAACTGCAGACATTGCTATCTGAATCATCAGATAACATGCATCCTAAGATAATCTAAAGTAATCAATTAAAGAAATAAAGATACAAGCAGGAGTTGAAGGAGCTGATAGAAGAAAAAGGGACACTGGGATAAACTTCCTTTCAGGAAATGTACCTTTGCTTCTGCTCAGATGCAGCTTATTCTGCAGATTGCTGAGTGTTTTATATGTATAATTAGATTAACTCAGTTTTGAAGTTTTATTAAAAAAGCACAACAATACCAAAAAACCCCAGCACAAAACCCAGCAACTTATTCAGAGTGGATTTGGTCTTTTGTTTGGATTTTTAGGAGAGGTACTTATCTTGTGATTTTAGCCAGTGAAGTATGAATAAATCTGTTAAGACAGATCTTTTTCTGTTGGACTTTGGGGGAAATAAAAGGGTCTTTGCTTATTTGGATCAAATGCTTGTGTGTAATATATATTGCATATAAATATTAGGTTTGGGGCCTGTGAATAAACACATAAAATCATGCTGACCTGGTGGTTTACCTGTTTTTACTAATTACATCAAAGAGTAACAGAACTGAAAGAAGTGAGGGCAAAACAATTTCAACTATGTATTTAACAGTGCTCTCAGCATCCCTGTATTAGCATCCCTTTTTGGTAGTCCCACATCAACAGGACACCAAAATGTTCTTTCCTGGAGCAGGAGTGAAAGGCTGGAACTTCTCCATGGTCTCTGATGCCCTTTTCCCTACAGATTTAGCACCTCTGGGTCTCCTCAGTGGAGGGAAGATGATGGCTTCAGATTTTACAGCTCATGTTTCTTTTAAAAACCAATAATAAAACCCCAAACCTGCTGCCCTGGAGTGACAGATTTCTCTGCTTGCGCAGGTGGTCAGGGGTTCCTGCATTCCTCCATCCTGCTCTTCTCCCCTGGTATCACCCCTCTTCCTCACCCTGCCTTCCCCTCCAGCCACTTTTTGCCTGCTCCGCATCCGCCTTTCTCCCTGTTTTCTCCCCGGCGAGCATCCCTGATGCTGGGAGTCATGTGCATGCTCAGGATTTGTCCCTCTCTGTTGGATGCTTTCTGTGGATCGGGGTGATGAGCTGGAGCTGCGGGTCTCTCAGGCTCAGCCTCTCCTTCCCTCCAGAGCCTGCCCCCCATCTTACTCCTGCCCTGGGTGCTCTGGGTGACCATGCGGAGCCCTCCCTCACCTCCCTAGTGTTTCAGCTGGTCCTATCCTTTTTTCCAGGAGATGGATGGTTCAGGGTGTCAGCAGTTTAAATATATGGTGAAGACAGAGAGGAGGAAGGGCGTTGAATTGCTGGGCTGGCAAGTGCTAATGGGGCCAGTTAAAGTAGATTTTTGATACAAAGACAATTACTACTAAGTGTTCAAAGTAGTTGCCAGGAATTGCCTTCCCCTCTTCTATTTCTTTCTCCTGTTTCCCTCCTGTTCTGTTCACTTGTGCTTAAAAATGTCCCCTGAAATGTTGGAATTGACCTGCCGTATCAAAATTTATCATTCAGAAGTCTGCGTTCAACTGGCCAGCCTGAAAAAAGAGAGAGATGCCATTGAGTGTGGAGTCTGACTTTGTTAGACAGTGTGCTTAATGTGATGTTAGCTGATTTTAAAAGCAATTAAAGAGCAGTTGGAAACTAGGCTTTTTGTTGCAAAGAGGACTGTTTCTCCACATTTGTTGTTTCAAGACATCCATTCTTAGGCTGATGTTTGTGTGTCTGTCCCAGGCTTGTAATGTTCTCATGAAATGACCCGTGTACTTTTTTGGACATGTTGCCTGCAGCCAAAAGAGAAATTTTTGGCATAATTTGAGGTGAATCTATTAGTGAGATGAGGTTCTTTGAATTATTTATTTATTTTTTTAAATGTAAATGCTTTGTTTTAAAAACTGACTTCAACTTTTAAATGTCTTAGTAAATTGCCTTTGACATTTATTTCCATGTCACATCGCCTGCAGAGATCTGAATGTGTTCAATTGTGTTTGGAGTGTGGGGATGCAGAAGGGTGTTCTGCCAGCTTCCAGCTGGCTTTAAGAGAATTGCGGTAACACATTGGAGAAGTACGCTTTTAATGTAGATGTACTTGTTCCTTTCTCTCTATAGTGGTGGGCTTTAAAATTCATCCTGGTTGTTGGTTGTTCAGGTGTGGTGGACAGAATGATCCCCTGCCCATTCCTGCTATTCCAACCTGTCATTTTCTCCCTTGGGGGGAAAAAAGAACCCCAAACAGCGGTGGACTTCTGTCTACTAGTCCTGCTGTTGAATAAACTCAGCTCTCAAGTTATGTTTTGGCACTGCTTTGGGGCCGCTGATAAGCAGTGCAGACGCCCTGGAGCTGGCCAGCAGGCAGGGTTATGAGTGCAATGCTGTAGGAATGTGGCTGTTCTGCTTTCGGGGCCAGGCTGGGGCTTGGAGCAATTTGGCAGCTTTTGTGGGGTGCAGAGCAGAAGCTGGATGTCTTGTAACCATGGTCTCGTTCTTGGGGCTGCTGGGTAGCGGTGTGCAGGGTTGCTCTGAAATTGCCTCCCTGCCCAGGAGTCAGATCAGAGCCTGCAGGGTGCGTTAGCTTCAGCCATCCCAGGTCTAGGCTGCCTTCTCCAGAAGGAATGGGATGGCAGCCCTGGGATCCTGCTGCTGCTGCTTTCACAGGGCTTTTCCCTTTTTCTGACTAGTAGAGGGTTGACTGTGATTGTTGCCTGAATAGAAATACAGTGCATTCTTAGGAGCCAGTGCTACAGCACGGCCTTGTTCACCCAAACCAAAATGAAATGCAGTCTGCTACATCCACAGCTAGGTTTGCACCCAGTTGGCGCATTGGGTACCTATTGTAGAGAGTGAGGGTTGAGAGGAAAAGAGCTGATTCTGCTAGAGCTCCACAGAAGGAAGATTAGTAAGTCGTGGAGAGCCACTGCCAATTATGCGAATTGGCACAGAGGAGCACTCGGCTTCTTACCCTTCTTAGCAAAGGTTTTTCTGGTGGGAAAAGGTATTTCAAGCAGTACCTGTAAGATGCTAGAAACTTAAGCTGTGATGGGGTTTGGGGTGATACTGTAGTACATAAACTGCTGGCTTAACTTTTGTTTTGCTATATATGTGTGTGCATATAAAAAAAGGATCTGAGGACCCTTAAGAAATGTGCCTTCCCCCAAATGTCTGGGGCTTATACTGTAGTAGTAATTTTAATTTGTATGTGTTTACAACAACAGTACTCAGACTTTCCTTCTGGGTATGTCTCTGAGGCTGACTTTTGGAAGGGGAAGAAGGTGCTAGTTGCCGCGGTGTTTCTAGGAAAGGAGTAAGAGTTGGCTGGGGTAGACACAAGGTGGTTGGAAGGAGACTGTCATTCAGCCAGACTTTGTAGTTCTGCATCATCTGTTTTTTCGTTATTTTCTAGCAGCTCCCTAGAAGCGCTGCCTGGATATATTGCCTTCCTCCTGCTACAGCAGCAAGGGAGTTTGCTCCCTTGTATGAGAAATGTTTTCATAAAAGTTGTGGGTTTTCATAATAATAAACCTGATTTTTCTGACTGGTAATAAATTATGACGTCTCTATTGGTTTGGAATATAATAACAGAGTTATGTAGGTACTTTAATATATTAAAGGTGTAATGTTACAGAACTACACTTTTAAATTGGGGACCAATTAACTGTACTACCACACATTATGCAAAGCAGCTGGTTAACTAATGAGACCACAGTCTGTCCCTCCCTTCTCAGACTCATCCTTGCTAGGATGCTTATTAGCATCATCCAGTAAAGGTGAAACTGGTTCTGGCTATGCAACATGCAGACTGCTTCTGGGGAAGTTTTTAACAGCATAGCACTGGCTGCATAGATGTAATGAACAAGTGCTGGGCTTGTTTTTTACTGCTGTGGTTGTTGGGACTTGTGGAGGACAAGTTTTAATTGAGAAAGTGGTGAAGATACCCTGGGATTTCTATGTTACAGGGCATCGACTCATGTTGAAATAAGCTAAAAACGTGCTAGAACTGATGGGAACTTTATTGAGAATTTTCCTAGGGCAAAGGAAAGATGATGATGTGTGTGTTTCACATTATTTCTTACTCTCTTTTGCATGTAAGAAATGAGTTGGCTTTTGCATTAAAGCCGCAGCTAGGCAAGCACTTCTTTTGATGTCGGCTTTTGCCCAAGCTATTTACTCCTCTACCTCTGTATCTGTCAGGTGTGCTTGTACCAGTGCTTGTGTGAATGTCAGGTTGACAAGACTGGGGATCTGCTCCATGCTGACGTAATTTTCATTCCCCAGGACTCTTTTAAGTTGTTTTCCCTCTGTAGTTCACTGTGCAGCCCCATAAAAAGGTATATCAGCATGACTGAGGGGATATGTGCAAGGAAGGGAGGTTGTTCAAGCCAGAATTACCTCTAAAATGGGATACTTCTCAAACTGCACTTTTATTGGCATGAGCTTTCCAGCATGTGCTGTTGTATGGAAACCTTCTTAAAAGGTCAGTCTTATGGCAGCAAGAGGAATGTATGAAAAGATTTGGAAATAGAGTTGTTTAGAATACAGAGAGTCAGAGCCTGTAATGTATCTTCCTTCCCTGCAGTGTGTAGCATCATGCCCACTAAATATTAATTGTGGCTTCTTTTCCCTTTTTTTCAGCTTCTCAGCAAAGATGCCTCCAAATGGGAAGGCCTTACATTTTCACCCGTCAGTTCTGCATTTTGGAATGCAGTGAGTATCTTATGTTATTGTTTTTTTGATTAATAATGAAGCGGGGAGGAACAACTATACTGGGCTACATTTGTGTAAAGAGCATTAGCTGAGATCATGCCATCCTCTGATAAAAAGAGAAATAGTAAATAATTGCCACAGAGTTGGAACTGTGTTTCTTGCCTGGCAGTACTTTGTAAATGAAAATCAACATAGTTCTAGGAAGGAGGAAAAGGGAATAGGGAACCATAACACATTCTGGGTACGTTTCAGGTGATTCTGCATGGATGTCAAGTCAGTTCTTCATGCTGGTGGTTCATTTCTTGAAAAATTGCCTTTCTAGTAGAGGGGGAGCTTGTTGCTTCCTTTAACTTCTGAAAATAAAATCCAGAAAGTCCCAGGCAAAACATACTGTTAGAATGCTTGAGATTTTTATTTTTTTTAGTTCTTCTCTAAGAAAACTTTAAAAATTATGCTTAAATGATAATCAGCCTTTGGTCCATCAGTAACCAAAAAGAAACATGATCCCCTTTTAAGTTAAAGCAATGTTTCAGAGCATGCACAGAATGAATGTATAAGCTGCTGGGTTTTAGGAGGTATTAGCTAAAGCAAAAGCCTTAAGAGACTTGTTGCTTTAGCTGACAAAGCAAGTCTTTGGTTATTTAAACTTTTTTATTCAAAACTTTGTGCCTCGTAAGGGTTGGGTTTTTTCTTAAACTCCTGGTGACTCAAACGAGTTTTGGCTAAGTGCACCTCTTACATCCCGATGTTACTGATCTGCCTTTGTATACTAAAGGATAAAGTTTTTTTGGCATGTTTCCAAAGAATGGTTACAACTGGGAAATTGTTGCATATCAACATGTTTTAGAGTGATTTGTGTCTGTTGCTTTCTTGTACATTGCCTGTGCTTATAAAGTGAATAATTTCTTTCTCTTCCCCCCCCCCCCCGCCCCTTTAGGTTACTGGGGTTACCCAGAGCTAAAATGCTGCATGCCTACAACCCTAGTAGAGATAGAGAAGTTGTAGTGAATTCAGTGTTTACAGCTACTAGACAGTTTCATGTGTCTCCTGCTTATAGCCGGGTAAGTGTTGATGTACTTTTGGAAACTATGTAATGGCCAAGTGCCAAGCCTTCCTGCTTCCTTTGGCCTAAGCTTTTCATTCTGTGTTTTCTCTTCGTGCTTTTTTGTAGGACCTCCAACTTTTTTTCTGTTTTGCTAGCATTTTTTCTGCTTGCTTCTGCTTAGACTGGTGAGGGAGAAGACATCCAAAACCTACAGTAGGAAATGTGTTTTACAGTAACAGAGAAAGAGAAGAATTTTTCAGTGTTAAAGAGGCTGTTTAAATCACATTCTGCTTTATGCAGCATTATGCAGTAATCCACAGGCATGTGGGTGTTTTACAGCCTTGAATTTTTAGTCTTTTGAATGGTCTTGCATATTCCTCAAAAAAAACTGCAGTGAAATGTTTTATGCATTTTGTATTGCAATTATGAGCATAATTGCCTCATGATCTAAGACCATTATTTTAACTTGGAATTTTTTTAACAACGTATAACAATATAACACATGTTAAGAATGAATTGCTGTGATCTCAGTTTGATGAAGCCCAGATTTTATCCTCTGCTGATGTGCAAAGGGTTTTTATTATGCTTTCTTCTCACTTGTGTTTTTACTATGGCTGAATGGGTAAGACACTGTGCAGATATAAACATCATTGTTCTTTCAGTTAGACCTATTTGGTTACTAATTGTGTTGCCCAAGTTCAGCTTTGACTCATTTGACTATATATCACAGTGGGGATTGATTCAGTTTGTAATAGGTATGTATATGTAGGGGGGAAGTGTTTTTGCGCATGCAGAGGCTGTCGGTGCTGCTTGATTAACTCGCGTGCCAAAAGGAGTCTTGACTGACGAGGCCTGAGCTAGCCAAGAAATTCCATCCATAATGTGGCGAGTTGCTGCATGGTCTCAGTTCTTCTCCATAGTAAGAGTCAAGAGCTGTGGACAGATGGAAGTTCTCAGGGCTGAGGTTCTGCTTAGTGGGATCTACAGACAGGGGTGTACATGTGGATGAGTCTGTTGGGCCGTGCAACTGAATGGTGGGTGTTGTGATCGCTGGCTCTGAGCAAGCAAGCTTCTTTGTGGTCTCTGCAGGTGATTCCAGCGATGGGAAAAATTTCTTTCAGAGTACTCTTCCTGCCAACAGAAGAAGGCAGTATTGAAAGCTCATTATTTATAAATACCTCATCTCATGGAGTACTTTCATATCAGGTAACTACTCTTATTTTTAGTTTGGATTGAGTTTTGGATTTACTTGTGTTTTAAAAAGTGATTTCCATACATTTTGAACTTAGAGACTTCCCAAGTTCGTTGAATTCCTGATACAAATCAGGTGGGGTAGTGTTTACAATTCATCCCTTTTACCAGATCTTGCTAGTCTCATGATCCCATATACATGTATATGGTTAAAATTACTACCGTTAGTGGGTCTACTTGCGGTAGTAAAACTAAGTGTGTTTGTATACTAAGTGTACTTACAAGACCATGGTCCTGTCACTATTAGTTGGTTTCATATAATACTGCAGTCTAGACTGCACTGTGCTGGAATGCATTTGTCATGAAAAACCTATTTAGGAAATATTTTAGGTGGTTTTCAGCTGCTCTGCAGGATTTTATGTAAACACATTGGGGATGTAGCACAGGGTGGGAGGTTTAGGCTCTTAAAACAGGAAAGTCGAAGTAATGGTTGTGCATTAAAGCTGTCTATTGCCTGATTAACTAGTGAATTCAAACAAGTCTTAAGCTTTTTTAATTTTTATAAGGGACATTATATACTGCAAATTCTTTGCTTTTATTAATTTGTTAAAGAAAAATCTAACTCTGAATTCAGTGATTTAAAAACAATGCCAGCTTTAATCAACCATCCAGCTATTCTGTTCCCATACTTTGATATTGTGCTGGAAAACAAAGCTCCTTAAATTGAAGCATAGGTAAGTCCAATTGAAATACATGGGTTTTAATACCAATGTTGCATTTATCTAGTATTTATTAGAGGTGTTGTTGCATTTGGCAGGAACTTTTCATCAAGTATGAGGGAAGAGTGCATTATAGAGTGACTGACCTTTTCTTTTTGACATCTCTCCTCTCCTTGCACTCACTCCTGACCCCTTGATTTATTGCCCGGTCAGCTCAGCCAGGGCCTTTTATCAACAAGTTGTGGGGAAGCAGTTGCCAGTGCCACCAAAAAATTAGTTTGTCTCCTGTTGGACTGCTGCTAAAATCAGTAACGGGCTGGTTTTCACGGACAGTTCCACCAGCCACCTGAAACAGAGGAAGTAGCTGCTCATGATTTCAGCTTGCATTAAGTTTAAGAGTTTCAAAATTGGGCATAACTCGAGTGGTTGATGCACAGTTACAGTGCTCTTGAGAGCCCAAAAGCCTTGAAACATGTTTGATGTTTCTAATGCATTTATGCAAGAGTATGTACAGAAGATTCACTCAAATGGAGAAGAGGTACCATTATAGTAAAATGCATTTTGTAAATGCCTCCATAAAAAAACCCAGGCATATTCCCTTTGATCTGCTATTTTGTATCTCTAGTCAGAGATCTTCAGTGAACATAGAATGCATTGTATAATCCTCTTAATTAAAAACATGTGGTTTTTTCTATTAAAAAAAAAATATCTTTGCATACAAGATGCAAACCCCAAGGCATTTTTCTTAACCTCAGTGATTTTTTTTTTCCCCTGTTATCTTGCATCTCATTGTCATAAACTAATCTTGGTGGAATGGAATATGAATGCAGTAAAAACATTCAACTTGCAAATCTTATAGTGCTCTGAAAACTGCAGACTTTAAAAAAGAAAATTATCAAAAATTATTTTACTCAATTTTTAAGGCAAAACCATTTAATTCAATATGCAGCTGGACTAGTAACAAAGTTTTTCCAGAAATTACTGCACTGCCAAATGGTGATATGTGTATTGTAATTGCCTGAAGAATAATAAGAGAGCTTAGATACTTTCTTTTTGGGATCACCTATGGCCTGCTAGTAAGTGCTTTGTTTTGTTTCTGTAATAGTGCCTGAATGAGCAAAGATGCTATAGTACCATTTATGTGTATAGTTACTTTCCACGTTGGAACTTTATATCTATAAATTGTCTTTTAAAAGGATATAATTTGAAAAACCAATCTGTTTCTTGGGAAGATTGTTATTATTAGCAAAATAGTTTTGTATGTTACTGTGATAACTGAAATACTAGGTGTTGATGTAATGACCTTTTTTTTTTCAACACCAGGTTTTTGGAACAGGAACTCTGACGTCTTCTCCAGAAGAACCTAGAGTGCAGCTATCAAATACCTACTTACTGCTTCCACACATTCAAAACATCCAGGCATCACACACACTGGTATAGTATACTTTTCAAATGGAGACGAAACATAAAACTTAGACATAAAAGGGTTTTGTCATCAGGTTGTTGGGATGCAAGGAACATTAACAAAAAGTCCAAGTACCAGTGACTGCAGGAGAGACATTGCAAGATACAGGGCTGCTGTGATAGCTGGTCTTCTGGTTTTATGAGACAGTCTTCGGCATTTAAACTATTTCCACTTGTTCTCGTTCATGCTCCTGTAGTGTGCTGTCCTCTCAGTTGTGCCAACAAAACTATTTGTGAGGCCCTCCCCTGAACTAAACTGGAGAATTGATCTGTCCTAAAAAAAATAAACTTTGTACTATAAAGATGGGGGAGGCTGTTTTGGTTTGTTCTGGTTTTTACTTCAGACCCCATTCCCCATGCCAGTTCACAGCAGGGCTGCACCAACAGTTTGCCACAGTTAAAAAGCATGGCATGCTGCATGGATGAGAACAAGAGCTGGGAGTCAGGCTGGAGTATCCCCTCCTGCCAGGCTGTACCAGTGCTGAAGATACCAGCTTCACTTACCTCTGCTTGACTAAAGCAGGGAGCTGTGGAGAATACACCAAGGTGGATTTAGAGGCATAACTATTTCAATTGAAAGAAGCTTTAATGATTTCTGTCGTCTGGTTACAGTTGGAGGTATTTTCGTAGTCTTCCAGGCCATATAGAACCTTTCAAATGAATAACTAACCAGAAAAACCGATCTTTCAAATTTCCTTTTGTATTGTACAGAGACTTAGTTTTTTCAAAAACATATTTAGAATATCTTAGCACATAACAGAATTGAATCTTTTATCTAAATGTAAGCTGTATTGATTGCCTTCGTGATGTCTTCTGTTCTACCTGAGAAAAATTCTCAGCTCAGATCGTATTTTTCAGTCTGCTACGTATATGTTAGGTCAATCTTACCTCTGCCCGAGCATAATGCACAATTTCCTTCTCTTCCTTTCTTTTCCTCTGTACCAGTCTCTTTCTGTAATCACACAAGTGTGCTTGCTTGTGGGCGTACACAGACAGACTCTTGCAAAGGAACCAAAATCCTCACGGTTTGTAATTTGGGGTGCTAGGGTTAGAATGGAGAACAGTTTTTTTGGATGCTGTTCATGACATGTCTCTTTGCATCTTTATGTGTAGCTCAATGGGTTGTTGTCAGGTACTGTCTGAAGTTTGGATCCATGCTCTGCTGCTTCACAGTTCTGTCTGAATTCCTGAGTAGAGAAGTTTTGGGGGGAGCATTTGACATTTTCCTTACTGTCTAGTGAGGAACATTTTCCTGTGCTTTATTTCTCTAAGTACGAGCTTGAGGTCATGTTTGGCAGTGCAGCAGGTACCACCTGGCACCAGTCTTGTTGCAGGACATGAGTTGTGAGAGAGTGTTGACTCAATTCTCTTCGCTGTGGGTGTAATTTTCCTGTGCCGCGCTATAATTGAGGAATTACTCTTCAGTTCGATGAATGTTACTGATTTGGACAGAAATGCTGCAGCAGTGGGACAGGCTCCTCAGCTGCTGAAGGTGGTAGACAAGTTCTAAATACTGAAGAGGACCTTATGGCTTGAGTTTGGGTTCCTTTTAGAAAAATATTGCTCTATGGATAGCTGTCCTCTCCAGAAACGCCTTCTTCAATTCACTCTACTAATATTCTGATCCAGATCCCATAAAAATTGGTATGATTCTGTTTTGTCCAGTTTATATTTTAGGCTCAGAAGCTGTGGAAGGAAGATAGGTCTATGAGGTTTGAGTGAGTGACTACATATGTGCAAACTTAAGAATATGTAATTATTAAACATACAGTGGAGATTTGTAGTGAAAATGCATTTAAAACAAACCAGTCATACTCACTTAACTGTCCACCTTTGCTTTCCCTTGTTTATTTTTAACTGAAGTAAATACCAGTGTAAGTTCAGGATAGCGTAAGCCTCATTTACACATCCCTTGTCATCTTGGGATGAATCGAGTTGTAACCTTGGGCAACAATGTCTGGTTTGCTATGCTAAAGGTATCCTTACCTCTAAAGTCTACTGATACTGCTTGGAAACCTGGGAGAAGGCTCACTGAGTGCTGCATGGTGTGTGCCTATTTTTTGTCTCTATTGTCTCCTGTTTTAAAAGTGGTTGTGTTTAAGCTGTTTGGTAATATTGATGTCCTTAATCATCAAGGCCAGAAAGGTAACGTCATTTAGTCCCATCATGTGCTTGGTAAAATGTGTTCTCAGAACTGCTGGAGGCATTGTTACCATAACCCGGAATAGTTGTTCTTACTCCTTTGATGGTTGGAAACCTACACCTGACTTTCAATCTGAATTGCTTTGTGGCCGGTTTATATTTGTTTGTTAAGACATGCATTTAGTTTATATAACTCCTCCTGCTTCTGATGCTTATACCCAGAAGCATTTGCAAGTGGCATCACATCTTTCAGCTTTTGCTTTGCCAAGCTGAATGGTCCGTGCTCTGTAGTATCTTATCTTCTTCAGTGATGGGCTGTCCATTTCTTAACCAGATTGACAACCCCTTTCTGCAGCTTCTCCAATTTGTAAAATTTCTTTGGAAGGTGAATGGCCAGAACTGTACATATGGATATGGATGAAATTTTGCCTCTACGGAGTATTTATGTTGGAAATATGATGGGAATTACAGACGAAAGTTTCCCTCTACAGTAATATTTCCATTAGAAATACAATATGCAACAGGTTTGTGTTTGCATTTTTTGTGGAAAATGAACTTCAGTTGATTTTGTGAGTTGTTTTTATACTTTAATAGGCAAAGGTACGCAGGCCTTTCTTTTTTCTCCATTATTCCCCCAGGGTTTTTTAGCAGAAATTCTTGTGATTAATGAAGAGAAGAAGAAAGACAAAGTTACCTTTTCTACTGTTGAATTTCACCCTCTTTCTGTTACTCTTTTCAAAATTTCAGCTTTTGAAGGGTTCAGGATCGGCATGCTCTGGCTGTGGTCCTGGATCCCAGGATTTCTGGGCTCCTGGCTCACTCGTCAGGAGGAAAGAAGAGCTGTGTCCAACACTGTGAATTCATAGTACGTCTACGTGGCCATTCAGCAGTGGCTAGTTACCGCTAAGCCGTAACAGATGGTGGAGCCCATATAGGTCATCTTTGTTTATCCAGCTTCTGGATGTAGTCTTTGCTCCAATTGCCTGGTTTTTGGCATTATTTAGTATTTGGATGGCACTAACAGGGCAGCTACGTCACTGCCTTGTTGTGTTCAAAATGCTGTGCAAGCACACTAGAAATGTCAATGGTGGAGTGACCTGCAGGGCGAAATATCTTATCATAGGAGACATAGGCATCACTTTGCTGACTTCGCAGAGGAGTTTGATGTTTATGAGCCAACAACATGGGAAATACTGCAAGTACTGTCAGGAACCCAAGACTCCTTAAGCTGTGTTTTGTGCTGGTGGACAGAGTATCAGAGAAGCAAATGTGTGCGAGTGTGGTGCTTGGGTGTGGAGGAGGAAGGTAATACGGCAGTAGAGTTTTCTTGGTGTGCCAGCCTGTAACTGCCTGCAAAAAAATGAAGGAACTCTGCTGAATCATTATTACAGGGACAGCTTATTAACACCATTCAGAGTGGCAGTATCTCTCTAGGGCCAGGGACTGTCTAGGACAGAAACTTTGAAGTATCAGCCTGCAGGAAGAAGGGGAAGCTTGTTCAGTGTTTGTTCTTTTTTAATTACACTGTAGCCAAACTCCAGGAAGTGGTTTAAACTCTAAAGTCCTGATAATGATGCAAGAATATCTCTGAAAATCTTGTATAGAGCCATGTCCGATTGACAGGGCACCTAGGGCAGAATAAGGAATTCTTCCCCTGAAAGTGACCTTGGGTCTGTGGCTGCTTGGTGGCTCTTGAGCTGGCTTGTGCCAGCTGTCCTGTTGATGCTCTGTCTCTCTTTTGATGGATGAATTATTTCCTAAGTAATTACCTACAGTACTGTCCCCCAGCGAGAATCGTAGACATTCACCAGGAGAGTAGGGCTCCTTGCAGATCAGATGGTTCAGGTTTTTAGGGTTTTTTTGAAAGAGGCCTCTGTTTCTTTAAAATTTAATTGCAGGAACTTGCCAAAACTGCTAAGAATTTCATTCGTGGGGCTTCTATCAGACTTCTCTGTTCAGTTCATATAGGATTTGTGGGTGCTGAGTGTGTGTGTACGTACAAGTATGTATGCATGCGTACCTAATACAAAACAGAGGCACCAGGTAATGAAGTGGCAGCGGCTGTACTGCTTCGCAGTGCTTTTTCTAGCTTTTCCCCTTGTGCCATGCCTCTCATTTTCAGTTCGCCTCTGGTGCAAACATACGCTGCATAACTCAGCTCTCTGCTCTGATTCATAGGCAGTGATTTTTACAGTGTAAATGGAATGCTTGCACTGCTGGGAGATGTGGACATGGTCCTGGGTTTGTCTTCTTGGAAACTGCTTCTGACAATGTTTTCTTCTGAGATGCTTTTATCTTCTCTTTATAGTTAACGCAGCTGTCTTACCAGTGTTGGAAGATAGGGGGCATGACAGTTATGCATCTATTGTCTGCCTTAGATAACTGAAAATGCTTTTCCTTTTCCAAAGATAGCTTCACAAAAGGAAATAAAAAATTCCCATAGAAAACAGATCAACATCAAATACACCCCTATAACATTTTTTTTCCCTCTGTGTGCCTTACATTAGCAGCTTCAATTTTAAGGTGACAGCAGTTTCCCATGTAGATCTATGCCAGGCTAAGAAGTTAAAAAAGTTGGAAAAGTGTGATTTAGCTGATTTTTTTTATAGGGGTGTGGGGTCTTAAACTGCTTTAAACTACAGTGGCACTGAATAAGGGCTAACAACTCCTTATTTAGGACCATGAAAGTGGTAGTGTTCTCTCAAGCTTGAACCACTGAGAAGGGAAGTCTAAGCATCAAGGTTTATCTGACCAGAAAAGTGACCCCCAAAGTTGCTCTTTATATAATCCTACTGCCTCATTAAAGCTCCACTAGCAGTCATAGCCATGAGAGGTCAGTAAATGGTGCATGTTTTGGAAAAAATTGTTTTTTCTGGTCTCAAAATTTGATGAGGACAAAAGCGTTTGTGAAAAAGAAAGGAGGTGGCAGGGGTTCACGTCCCCCAAAGAGCTGGGCTGGGGACAGGGTTTGGGTTGCTGCTAACCACCTTTGCAGAGGTTACATCGCCCTCTTGTGTGAAGCCCCAGTCATTTTGGTATGAAATCTGGTTGAATCGGGAATGCAGAATGCATGTTGGCTTCCTTTTAGCTGTGCTTTTATAAAACTGGACCCCACACGTGTGGTAAATCTACTCTCTGTTCCGATGCACCTTGCCCCCTTCTGCCTGTCCCAGGGAGATAGGAAATAGGGTGTTTGGACACTTCAAAAACTTTTCTTCACAGTTTCACTTTTCGGCATCAAATTATTGAAATTCTTTGAAGTCAGTTGCATCAACACTTTCAGAGACTTGAACCTGCAGATACCCCACTCAGATATTTAGTTCATATTGCAAGAGAAACTGGGGGTGGGTGGGTGGTCCACATCAGTCTCAAAATCACCAGGTAATTTTGCTATAATTAAGGCACTGATAGAGTGACAGGTCTATCACTCTGATTTTTTTTTTTTTTTTTAATTTAGAATCAAGATCTACTGTCTCAGCAGTTAGTGTGAGTAATTTGACAGTCCAGATTTCCAGATAGCTTTCATGAACTATGCTCAGCTTTGTCAGTGCTGTTGCCCTGTTAGATTTGAGTGCTTTACAAACTGGCACAATCATCTTTTCTTTTCCCTTTCCAATCAATAAAAAGGCAAAACAAGTATTTTCTGTCTGTCCATTTTGGCATGAAGCCGTGTCCAAGAAGCATTATATTCTAGGCCTAGTAACTATTTCAGTGTCCAATCAGCAAAGAAAATATACAGAAAACAAGGCAAGAAGCTTTTAAATTATATAAAAAGGTCTTTGTTGAATACAATTTATTGACATATGAAAGTTTATAAGGGTTGCTCATGTTGATGCTGTACAAATATTTAATAATCATGTATAATAATAATTTGATAAGTAAGTAGATATTGATGGAGTTCCTGAGAATTGGAGATTGATTGCTGGCCTACTGTACAGAGTAATTGTATTTATTTTAAAAAAGTTTCTTACATTGCTGTGTCATGCATATGCAGAAACAGTCCTATTATCTTTATAAATTGTGGTGTGTGAATCAGATTTATGTGATAACACCTTTTGAAGCAATGTGCTTGACGTTTTCTTCACTGTTCTTTCTTACAGGCAGAAACTACGAATGCCAGTCTGTTACGTGTTCACCTTGAATGCAGTTTACCTAATGACGCATATCAGCAAGTTAAGGTATGTTTTATTATAATTTCATATCTATTTAAGTCTTTTTATTTTAATCTGAGTTTAGAGGGACACTTCCCAGAGCTCTAGAAGTTTTAGCAACAATGCAGTTTTGAATGTCTCAGTTTAAAGGGGAATTGTGCTTTTAGCTATGCTTTTATAAAACCATATCCTGTGGTATAAATTAAAAGTCACACACATCACAATATAAGCTGTAAGAGAGGGGGAGATAGAAAAAGACACCCCCACCCCCCCACCCCCACCCCGGAAAAAAACCCCAAACCCAAAACCCAAACCAACCCAACAGGCTAAGCGTTGTAACATGTAGGTATTGTATTACTTACATGGCGTACAAAAGTGATAAGATTCCTGTAATTTCCTTTCTCCAGAAATGTTTCACAAGTTTCTGGTTCACACTGACAAGAGATCAGTGAGCTGAGAGGCTGAAGTCTGGGCTGTTCGGGCCGTGTGCTCGCTCAGGAGGCTTCGAAGGTGGCCTTGGCGTTGGGCAGAGCTGAGGAGGGGCGAGCTCGTCAGCAGAAACGCACCCTCCAGAAGCTCTGAGCGTTCAGGACAGTAGCTCTCCTCCTCCTCCTGGGCAGTGCTGTCCGAATCTCCTCTCCCCCCCTCTCCTCAAATGTCCTTACACAGTAAATGGGTGTTGGTTCCCAGCAATGATGGTACTCGATGGGATATTTTGTTGGATCAGATATATAGGCCCACGCTGTGGTCTGCAGCACCTTTCTTCTATCAAGCATGACAAGACCCAGACTCCCTAGCTGTTTTTCTGTACATTACACATCACAGTGATCCTGTGCTGGTTTACTCCCTTGTTTGATTCTTGGATTGCTTTGGTGAATAAGCCTAGGCTTGAGATGCACCTGAATAATTGGGATTACATGTAGTGCAGCTGCCCGCTCTCTGATGCGAGCTTCCCAAGGGCACATCATCCCTGTGCTCCAGTCTCCACAGCAGCCTCCTCTCCTGCTCCTGGCAGCCATTTCAAGTGCTGAGGCTTCCTGTGATGCTGTGTGAGCAGTGAACTGGCATCCCGTTCCCTGAGACGCTTCCCCACTCCCGCTGTACCTCCTTGTGGTACTTCAGATGAGCTGAAGGTGTTTTGCTGCCGCTTCGCTAGAGCGCTTCACGTGCCGGGGTGGAGGTTTTCTCCTCCTCCTCCTGAGCAAATTAGGCCTCTTGGTAGGGCATCGGAGCCTCAGTTTAGCGACCTTCATGGCATGATGCACGACAAATTCATGTTACTTGCTGTTGATTGTCTACTTTTGTTTTGCTTTGTCAGCTTTAATTTTTTGTGAAATGGTGTCTGTGTCTTTGTATTTGCTAAGACTCAGCTGTCTTAACAGCAGCCCCTACTTAAGAAGGAAATAAGATCCTACTTGTATTTATCTGAAGTATTCTAGCCAGACGACAGTGTTTTCTATTAAGAATTGTACATGTATGTTTGTTTTTTTAAAATTACTTCAGTGAGAAATGGAGACAAAAAACACAGGATTTGGAAAAATTAACTATAAACAGACCAGTGAACATGAACTGTCTTCCTACCATTAAGACACATGCATCAGTCTGTTTATGGCACATTTTATTGAAGGCAGAGGATTTAACAAAGGAAACTGTTTTGCAGTCCCTGAGGTGAGACTGACTAAGACAGTTTATAAATTTGCATTCTTTCAAGGTTCAGTGTCCTTTTTAGTTGTTTTTCGTCTTTGTTTTTGCTGTGCTGTCTGTACTTGCACTGTCTTTGGTTTCTGCTGAGATTTTAGCAGAGGTCCTAATTACTCCTATTTTGCCAGCACTTTGGTGCTGGAAACCTTGTCTGTTAGATAATACCTTTGATTAAGTTCTCAAAATACCTTACTGTAATGAATTTTTTTCCGTTCCCTCCCCCACCACACACACACACCATATCCCCTTGTCTCGCTCCAGAGTTGCTGTTTTATGTCCGATGACCCAATGCTGCTAGAAATGACCTTAACGGTAAGAATGGAAAATGACCAACAAGATTTTGTGGAGCACAGACAATACTTACTGGAGAATCTTTTTGTAGTTTATGTAGCAATGGAAAAAACGAAGACCTCGGGTAAGTCCTAAATATGACTTAATTTTAATAGAACTTGGTTTGATACATAAGTTGTGATTTGATGTGCTAAATTAAATCAAATTCAGCAACAGCTAAATTTTGCGAGTGAGAACAAATCAGTTTAGTTAAACACAGCTTGTCAGCCACTTTGTTTAGGGCAGAGTTACTGCAAGTGCAATCCTCTTTATCAAAAGGTAACTATTGTAAAGCTGTAAACTACATCAGTTCCAGTCTTTAGTCCCACATACTTATGCATCTGCTTAAATAGTACGAAAGGATGTCATGGTCCTTCGATTTCTATGACTGCATTTCTGGTTTCCCATTAATTAAATTAACCATAATAGGACTATGAAGGCAGAATGGTTTGTACAGTGCTGGGGATAGTGGCTGTTGTGCAAAGTCAGGTAATGAGGTAATACAGATGTATGCATCATTTGTTCTTGTAAGCTGGAATTCCACAGGCAAAACAATCAACTCCTTGAAGTTTCTTTACGCTACATTTATTGGGTGAACAAATCCTCTAAATCAAGGGGATTTTTAATTATTTATAGAGCTTTGCAGTCTGAATAGCTTTTTTTAGACATTTCTGCCGTTTTTACTTTCTGATTCAAGATGAAGAAGGAACTGCTTAAGAATCCAGATCAAAATAATTCTTTTTAACACACTAGTAAAAAAAGAACATGATCTTTTTGTCTTTTGAGAAGTTCGATTAAAAATCTATCACAAAACAACATATGCTGTTCCCCCTGTGCCTGTTCTGTGATGTGATATTTACACAGAGCTGAAACTGAAATACCCGCTGTAAACCTAGTTTCCGTGCTGGTGAGATGCCAGTGCTTTGTTATGTTGAGTTGTGGACTTACGTTTATTCTGATGCTGGTAGAGAATTGTTCACATCTGTTGTGTCAAGGGTGCTCGCTCTTAGCACTTTTGATGGTTAAAGTACTAGAAGTATGCTTTTAAGGCTGTTTTCTATTAAATATAATGCACTTATAAGTCCTCACTGTGTTAGAGATTGATCATATAAGCCCTTTGGACTTGCTGTTGGTGGGAAGTTCCGTGTCTTGCTCCATCAGTACCGGTGGTGGCTTTACCATATCAAACAGCAATGCTTGCTTGCCTTCTGTTTGTATAATTAAATGAGAGACCTGGTCTTGAGGGAAGGATCTAACAAAAGGGAATTTGGTGCTGTGTTAGTCTCAGTGTACAGCACATGCCTTAGCACCTAGAGTGGAACAGCAGGTAGGCAAGGTCTGCACAGGGGAGCTAGCCAGCTGGAAAGGTTGAAGAAGAGTATGTGGTTTAAACAGCTGTGGGTATGTGGAGCGTCTGCTCACTCAGAATCAACATCTTGAACCCTCTTTTGGAAGGTGGCACCTGTAGTCTTGCTTTGAAGCACCTGAGCAAAGCACACTCATTATTAGAAGTTGTGCCTGGTGAACTGGGAGAATGTCCTTTTACGTCAGCCTGCATCTACTCATGTAATTCAAGTATGAGCAAGAGCAAGAACTCAGGTTGTCTTCCTTCATGGAAGTGTGATGACCACCCTGGTATAATAGTCATCTCTTGTTCTGTCCTGCTGCTCTTCTCTTGGTCCTCTAGACCTTCCTGGTGTCCTGTGGACAGGAACATAGCTTTGCCAGTGATGAAGCTGTACCACCTTATCCGCAGGTGAAAGCGGAGTTATACCCATCTTCTGTTGCTCTAGTCAATAGGTCACTACCCTACCAGGTGATAGGACCATTCCTCTATTAAGCCCAAAAGGTGGTAAGCACCAAATCCAGCTTCACAATCGTCTCCTGAGAATGCTTGCTGTTCAAAGCAGGTGAAGCCAGGATCTTGCTTAGCTGTGTGTGTATACAGAAGAGTTTTTACTGGACTCTCTCATGCTATTGATAGGTTGGCCCTTAGAAAGTTACGGCAGTGTCAGCCATCCTTCTTTCCTTCAGTTGTGCCTCCAATCTCCCTGCCCCTAGGAAAGGGGAGAGTTGTGCTCCATCTAGCATTTAAGAGATAACGAAGGAAGATTCCCTATTGATGCTTGCCTTCGTGTTTGTGGCCAAAAATCTTGTTGAGTGGATTTTTACTCTTGTATGACATGATTGCCAGCTCAAGATGTGAATAGTTCCTCCTTTTTACAAGGGTAGCTGTCACACAAAGATTTTTAAATTTAAATCAGGATTGCTTCTCATATGAGTATCTGACAAAGCAAGAGTGCTTCCATCCTTGGTGAACTTACCTCAGTGTTCATTCTTTTGGACAGGTGATTCCTCAGTAGATGTGTACATCATGCATTCTGGGAACAGCCTTGTGCATATACAGGTAATCGTGGGCTTCATATTTTAGGGTGTTGAATTTGGTTGGGGAATTAATTAGCCCACTGGCTTGCTCTCTAATAGCAGATTGATTTTGCTGGTGGCAAACGTGATGCTTCTATATTTTTAAAATGTGCCCAAACACCTAATAGATCTTTTAGATGACAAGTTGTAGTTCAGTGATGGCTGTTTTTTTAAAAAAAACATAAGAGCTGTTAACTTGACTAGAAATCCATGGGTTGATTTAGAAGATGTGATAAAATGGCAGATATTGGCTTGCAAATTTGACAAGAAGATACACTAATACAGGAGCTACAATAATAATAGTAGTACTGCTACAATGATCATTGTGTCTTGTCTTCATGCAGGAAATACGGCAGTTGTCACAAAAAGACACATCACCTGTGGAGTTTGAGCCAGTACTGCTATCTTCATCATCTACTAACTTTACAAAAGTTGCTTCTATTTCTTGTAAAGGTACAGGATACATATACTTATAGATAATATAATTAAACAGGATTTGATTATAAAAGGGTAGCTTTTTTCAGCAGATAGAGACCCTGAAAGATCTCAAAATCAACTTGTCTGGACTTTTTTGAGAAAGAAGATGAATTCTTTCTGCTAAGAGTTTCCACCATTTTTGTGTATATGTGCTCCCTCTTATGCCAGTCAAAGGCTCTAAGCTATATGTATTTCAAAAAGGGGAAGAAAACATTTGCTAAAATGTAAGCTGATTTTACAATAAGCATAATTATTGAATATGCTTTTTCACCATCCTTTTATAATTTGTGGTTATTTTTCTGTTTCCAATGTATTTTCTAAAAGGCTATTGTGCTTGGGTGGTCATTTTCTATGACACTTCTTGGCAGGATCATTGAAGAGGCTTGCCTGAGACCAGGCATGTTTGTGGAAGAGCAAAGATTAACATTTAAGCATTCCTGACTCCAGCCTGTTTCCTATTCTGACCACTAGACTGCAGTGCATAGACTTTAAACATTTATGAAACAGACTGCTTTCATAATGACATTGGGACTTGTTTTTTGTAGCAGAAAAGGGTAAATAAGAAGAAAGAAGGGACTATATGTTATATGATTTTTTTTTTTTCAGAACAGTTTTTCATTTATTAAAATAAGTAAGAATGCTGTGCCAGTGACAATGTGGTTAAAATTGGTGAGGCTGCTTTTCACAGCCTTGTTGTGCGTGTGGTTTTTTTGAAAGTCTGTAGCATTCATAAATTCTTCTTAAAGCAAGGTTTGGAACCTCTGAAAATTAGGACATAAGCAATTAGATGCTTTGCTCACCTCTGAGAATTAGACCAGCAAATATTCCCCTTTGTAATGTTCTTCCAAGTCCTCACATGAAAATCATTGCAGATGTGCTTTTGTTCTGGCTGATGTTGTATTCTCCTGTATGTCTGTTCTTTGCACAGCTGCATCCTGTGGCAGTGAAAGTCCTTATGCTGACAACAAGAAGAATAATCTATTGGAAGGCACTACAACACTAAGAGCCTGTCTTTCCTGTCCTGTGATGGAAGGGTAGGTTGACAGTGGATTTTTGTTTGTTTGTTAACTTTCACTGATGTTATAAGAAGAATATTGTATACCCTATTGTAAGAGATGAGGTTAGTTTGCTTTGTCACTGAATGATTCCAAGGACAGTGAAGAGGCTTCTTCCTATTGTTGCTGTGTCATTTGCCAAAACAGACCTGTGACATTTCAAGCAATATTTCTGTATTTTATCCAGGAAAAATGTTAGGACCCAGTAAAAAGATGTGCCTTAGCAGCTCATATCGTATGAATGTTGCTTAGAGTCTGTGATAAAATTTCCACCATCCTTATTAATCCAACACAAAAGTAGGATAATTATAGAAAAAATGTGAAGTCTTTTGTTCAGTCTTCTATTGCCAATTTAATCCAAACTACCATATCACAAAGCAGTAGGCAATGTTGTCATATAGCATAGCAAGAGGGTAGAGTGATTACCTGCCTACCTCTTCTACATTGTTCTTGTCAATTTTTACTCTGATATTATATGTAGGTATTCCAAAGGAAATAATTTTGTTCTTTCTCCTTAAAACCTTAGAAGAGCCTCATTATGCAACAATACTACAGTTATCTGCTCTTGTGTGGACCGCTTATGTGTGTTCAAGGACAACTGCAGATGTATTTATTTTTCTTCTGTATTTACTTTCAGGTATTTTGACGTAGATCCTTCTGCAGCATTGTTTCATATAGAACCACATCATAATACTTCAGGATTTTGGTCCATATGGTTTACAAACAATTTTGACTTCAGCATTGAACTGAATGAAGTCTTCGTAGCCAGAGAAACGAAGAACATTTTAAAGGTAAGCTTTATATCTGCTTCATACAATGTTGTCTTTGATTTAAGGATGATCCTCAGACATACAAAATAGATTCTTTGAAGAACTTGATGTTCGCAGAGCTGGTTGAAATAAGTTAAAAATAAAGGTGTGTGTATGCCTGGAACTGTTAGGTCCTGAAGAGGTTACTCTCTCGGTAGGCATTATTCACTCTCCGGCTATTTTTTGTGTTGTTTTATTAGCAACTGTTCTTTCATTTGAGTTGCAGCTACAGATGCATCAAATTATAGACCATTGCTCTGTTCTCAGAATTGTTGCAGTGTTTGTGCTCTATAGGATTCAGCATTTCTTCATAGGCTGTAATGGAAGTCTTTAGTACATAGATGAGCTTTGAAGTTTAGAAGGCGAAGCCAATAATTTACTCGCGCAATTGCTTGATTCAAACCAGACAAATCTGGTTTATGAATAAGCACATGATGTAGGCATCTAATTGGCTCTTGGTATATTTAGATAGGAGATTTACATATGTGCACTGTATGGATCAGTTATGGGTGCATATGTGTGTGTAATAACAGCAAAAACATGATGGAAGAGAAAGTTTACATTCTTCAAGGTACCGCTTGCACCAAAAATACTGCACTGATTTTAATTCAGTTTTCTGATTCTTTCTAGATTCTGAACTTTGCCAAACCTTTGACTCTACCTCCAGGCTGCTGGAATGTATTTTCTTTGAAGCTCAGTGTGAAAGACGCTGTAACAAATGTGCTTTCTAGTATTTGTTTGGCCACAAATGTGGGAGTAATGTTTGAAATACCTCTGCAGATATATTCAACTGTGTCCAAGGTATCGTATTCAGTTGTGTTGAATGGTGATTATGCACTCCAAACCAAACTGCAGCAGCCTCTTTCTTAGGCCAGAAATCTGTCCCTCAGTCCTGAAAGAAAAACTCAGTACCAGACCAATCTGTGAAACCATTCTGTAGCTTGAGATATTAAGCCCCCAGAGTTGAACAGCAATGGAATTACAGTTCTCTAGGCAACCTTAATTCTCTTCTTTGACTCGTCCAAATTATGCACTGAGAAACTGGAATTTGTCCTGTTGTTTTGTCATATAGTCAGTTGTAGTTTTTGTTTTGTTTTTCCAGCAGGGAGATCTTAATTTTGAAGCGATTGCCCACTGTGATATTCAGTGTTACTTGGGAAAGTCTGATTCAGGTATGCTCATCTTGGTTTTTTTTTTTTAGGCATCTGACGGTAGTTTTATTGTAGAAAATTCATTTTATGTAGCAAGACTTGTAATGAGAATATTGAGATTGTTCATGCAAGTACTAAGTTTTATGTCTTTTTAAAAACATCCACTTTTCTGGGAGTATATAAATGGCTTTGAGTAACCTGTACTAAGTACACTGTGCAGTATTTCAGACCTCTAACTCCATAGCATGTGCTAAGCTATTGTTCTGTCTTGAAACAGTTTTTTGGAATTAATATTTACAACTCCTCTGTAAGTTCTCATTGGTGGTGTGCTGCTCCTTGCTTTCTTCATATGCATGTTCTCCTGAGATGTTGAGGTAGAATGATAAAGCTGTCAACTAGCTCAAAGTGATTAGAAAATGTGCATAATCTGGGCCCAGATCCTGGGAAGTCTTTGATGAAAAACGAAAAATAAATGTTAACCAATATCCTGCCTTTAGCTAGAGTTAAATTTGAAGGCCTTCTCTTTATCTCTTTCTCACAGCATTAATTTAATAGATTTCTGCAAAAGGTCATTTATCAAGCTTATAAAAGAGCATCCTTAATGCTGTATCATGTGCAACAGAAGAAGGGGTCTCATTCTTTCTGGAACTGAGGAATCTCTCCAGATACTGTACTGCTGGGAGCTGTTTTAAGTACCTGGCTGGTGTTTACCAAAATACAGTGTTAGGTGTTAAATAGACACGATACTGCCTGAAGAATGTTGAATCTGATGAAAGCTGATTCAGAATAGTGGGGTTTTTTTTAATCTCTGCTCAGTAAAGAAGTTCTGTAGGCAGTTGAGTACCATAGGCTTTAAATGTTTCAGTGAGTGCTCTCCTGAATGTGTTTTTAAGGTGATGCTTTCCTAAAATATATTTTCGTATGAGGATATGAAGAAGGCAATAGTAGTCAGTCAAATGTAAAAAACACGTGGCTTGAAGAATTACTGATACATGTACGTGCTTAGGTACCTATCTTAGAAGCAAGTGTTGTTTTTTTGTTTGTTTTTTAAAATCTTTATAAAGAAATATTGCTGATAGAAGTGAGCCCTCATTGCTTGCTTGCTTTCCGTTCTAATAATACACATAATTGGATCTTTAGACAGGTATTCTGCCTTCTAATTTAGGATACTAATATTTGTTAAATAGAGAAGTCTAATGCACAAGCCTGAAAAATACTGACCCAAAGAACTTGTAGCTGAATTATTCCAGTCATCATCAATCTCAATTGGCTACTTTAAACACTAAGGATTGTAAAATAAAGTACGTGTACTTTCAAAATAAGCCATTTTTGTTTTCTTTCAAAAGAAATTTGCTTCTCTAACTCCTTTCTGCTGTGAAAATGTGAAAATGTGAAAATGCTTGAACCAATATGAACTAACTAACCAATAGACTTTCTAAAAGGCGTTAACCTTTAGACTGATGTAAAGCCTTGCAATTTAATCTTAAGAAGAATTTGAGAAAATTATCAGCACCTTGAAAAGTGAAGCTAAAATGAAAACACCATTTCTGCCAAACTGTGGGATTTGTTTTGCTCCCTGCTGTGCTGTGATATTATAATTTTGTACCACTATGTAGAGAATAGTATATGATCCTGATGCTTTATTGGCATCAGTGGAGGGTTCTGTGTGAAGGCTACTGATAATGTAATGACTTTTCAATGGCGTCCATTAGAAATAGCAACAGTAAAAAGGGCTTACTAGAGCATAGAAAGCCTGTGCGACATCCATACACTTGTTTACATGTAGAATTACTGTGTTTTTGCAGATGTACATTTTTAAGCAAACCAGGTATGGAGAATAACATATATACCCTCACATATGCTTGCTCTGAAGGGAAAAACGGGGTTGCCTTTAATATTTTTGTGTCAGGACCCTTGCAGATACTGATTACTCATGTTCAGAAGTAGATTGATGGAAGGAGCAAATGTTATTTCTGTAAAATATGAAAAATCTGTTATCGTTTTAGCAAATCTGCTTTGGCAGAAGAGTCTCTCTCTGGACCGTTCTGCCTGGGATGTGGATTCTGAGCTTGCAAGTGAACTTTATGAAAGATGGCAAAAAATAAGACGTGGGGAAGCCTGCAGGTCTGTACAGAATCTGTTGAGGTTCTTAATTCAAGCCAGTACAGTGTTGTAAGAATATTTCTGTTCTGAAGTATTCTTAATTAGAACAAACATTTTTGACCTTCCTGCACTTAAATTAGTTATCTTGAAGCACCCGGAGTATTGGAGCACCCCAGACACCCCCAGCTTCCATTTCAAGGCACTGCCAGCCATAAGTAAACGTTTCAGGTGCCCGAACTTCAGAATGTAAATAATGTTCTGACTATAATAACCTCACCACAGCTACCCAATATGAAAGCAATCAAAGCATGTTCTACCAGATCATTTAGGGAGTTGCACGAGTCCTTCATCAACAGGTCACATAGCAGTCTTTTCAGGATTAGGGTCTTTGAATAGCTTTTAAGGTTTTTAGTCCTTGGCCTAATGGATATTGCATACTGGGGGCGTTGGGAAGGAAGCAGTCACTGTGACTGAGCAATTCTTGTAGAGATGGTGCATCGGTGACATCAGCCCCTTCCAGAATAAGGAGGTAGAGCTGTGAAAACCACAGTCGTGTTGCAGGTGGAAAATTGGAGACTGAAGGGATGCACATAAGTTACACTGACTCTCTACTACTAGGTTACAGCTTTATGGGCTTTATTTTGTGAAGAACATTTTCAAGGAGAGATTAGTTGATGTAATTATAGGTCCTGGCAAATCATCATTTTTTTTTGTTCTTTGCTTGAAAGAAAAAAGAAAATAAAATTAACAAAGCTTTCTGGTTTTGCCAATAAAGCAGGAGGAGTATTTCAGGATCGGCTCGCTTTATTCATCAGAAGAAGCCTGAAGAGGGGTTCTTTGCCTTTTTCTTGCCACGGTTGACTACAGAGCCTGGCCTTACGCTCAACTTCAGTGCCACAGCAGTTAAAAGTAGTATGGTAAGGATAGTTGTTGTTACGCTTTTTCTGGGTTGATGTATGTTTAGCTTGTTTTAATAACAAAGTCTGTGATTAATATTTGGTGATGCTTAGCATTTTCATACTGCTTGTGGATCAGTGAACTCTAATTTAAAACACCAGTTTTGTATCCCCTTGGCTCTTTGATAAGTTCTCTAGCTACCTAGTTGTAATATTTTAATACAAGGAGAGGAGTAAAGCAGTGTAGTCTTAACTAACAATTGTTCGTGGTTGTTAAAGCTTTCCTTGCATCATTGTATAAGTTACATGCTTGTGGTAAAATAATTGAACAAGGGACTAGGGGTAGGATGTACTGTCATTAATGTTGCATGTGGTTATGGGATGGCCTTCCTCATGCCACTGCCTTATGTAACAGAAGCGTGTAAAACACTTGCAGGAGATACACACTTGAGAGATCAGCAGAGCAATGTGTCTTCCAACCACAGTTGTTTCTTCCTTGTTTGTCAGATTTAAGTCACTACTAACCTAGCCTGGGCCAGAACCAATCATATGGAGATAGTTTTCATATGCACATACTGTGAATTACATTAATATTCCATTTGTGCCATTTAATTGCCAGTCATTATAGCAGTGTGTATAACCTGCTTGCACTCAGACTTCTGTAAGAAAGGGTGGCACCTCACTAACTTCACCTTCTTTGGAAGAGCTTTGTTCATGTCTGCATGTGTAAATCAAAATCCAAATGAAAAGGTTGTCTGGGGGTGGGGAATTCTCTATTTTTGCACATGTGGTTCTTCATGCACTCTTAGCTGTTTTTGCAAATGATGACATTGTGGTGATATGTCCTGTTGTTCCATGCAGTTTTGTGCACATATGATTATATTGCATTAAGACAGAAGCCAGGTTGAAGTCCCTTGAGAAAGCAGATCATGTTACCTGTGCTGAATTATTTTACCTTCTTGTTCTCAAGTATGTAGTTTTTAACTTTTTCTTTTCCCCTTCAAACTATTTAGGTAAAATATTTCGTACTAAGAAACCCTTCATCCTTCCCAGTTACGTTGCAGCTTCTGCCTCTTTCTCACTACCCTGATCCCCAAGCTTCACTGGGTCTGCTCAAGAAATGGTAATGAGTATAACTATCTCAGGATACTGTTTTCCCTTTTAAAAGATCTATTTGCCGTGCCTTATGTTTGTTGCTTATTGTTTGTTTATTTTTTTCCAAGTGTAATTTGGGTGGGGACAATGTTCTGACCCATTTTGGAAGATATAATCATGTTCAGAGCAGCTCCCTGTATGACACATGACTTCGTAATGTACCTGATCAGTGATAAAACCAAATTGAGCATGTTTTCATCAAGTTTGTCTGCCAGCCATAAACTATAATTGGTCATCTTTTAAGATCTGAGGCTTAGTGTGAGCTTGTGCGGGCTGCCCAGGTGAGGTGAGCAACTTGCAGAACTGGGCACGTGTATCTCCCTGCAAGGCTGGTTGGGAAGTACACAGTCTATAGACTGATCAGTGAGGAGGAAGGTAACTGAACCTTCCCCCCCCGAAAAAAATTTCTTCTTAGTTTTTTCTTGGGTAAAACCCCTGGTTGAGGAAGAGGAAACAGGAGCCACGAAGAAAAATTCAGGTCCAGAGCCAGTAACCCCACAGTAAATGTTTAGGGCCAGCTAAGCCAATGTTTCTACATTGTTTTAAACTTTCTGTTTTAGAACTGAGAAGATCTAATGAGAAATCTAGATAAGAGCTAGATGAACAGCATAAAGGGTCATGGTGAGGTGGGCTGAAGTTCATGAAAATAAGCCCTGGCTGTTACACTTAACTTTGAAAAACTGTGTAGTTGCTAGGACTATTTGCTTGGTTGGAGCCAATGGGACTACTCACATGCTTAAGTGTAACTTGCTTATTCGGGGTCCAAATGCCCGTGTAATTGCTTCTTTAACCTCATTTCTTTACATACATATGTGTATGTGTGTATATATATATGCATGTGTGTATATATATATATATGCACATTAATAACTACATCTGTTTGCATACTAAATATAATTTCCACATAGACTCTTTCTAGTGGTTTGAAATTACATTTTCTCTGTATTTGCACTTTTTTTCTACAGATCTTCTAGGTTTACCAGAAATCATGTCCACTAACTGGTTCTTTTTAAGCTAATGTCATAGAAAATTGTGGCAAGTGAATCTCCAATTCAGTGTCTGGAGGTCCATTAGTCCTCTGTAATCTAAATTTTACCTATTGTTTTTAATACCTTAATGTCAAATGCTTGTAATTTTCTCTCAGGCAAATAATCAACTGCTGTAAGTGAACTGAATTTGCAAAGTATGTGAAAGAAAAATAGGAGTTTGTCTGAAAAAAATCATGAGCAGAAGGAGGGATGTTTGAGTAAATTAATGAGATTTGATAATGATTATTTCTTAACACTTAAGTGGGCAGAAAAAGCTTCCAGGCATTTGTGTTTGTGTGCCTTAGAAATTGTATTTCTTGATTGTGATCTTTTGCAATATTGTATGCTGAGAGATCTAAAATGCCCAGCCTTTTGTCTGTTTTCCAAATGTGTGGAATCCACATAAAACTGATTTGTAGTGTATTCTGTTAAAATTCAGACTGACATTTCCACTGTATTTTGCATATGGCAAAATGCAATTGTAAAAGTATTCTTTATTTAAGAATAAATGTCATCATGTGAAAATAAGTCATTGTAATTCTGACAGACTAGGTTTGAAGTGCTTAATTTTTTGTTTTGATTTATTTAGGTTTGACATAAATGTGCAAGCTATTAATTTCACAACCACTGAATTCAGGCTCATGGATGAATGTTCTCACAGGGTAAGATGGCTAATTTTGATAGAAGTGGTCTGACACACTAGAAAAAACTTTTTCTAGCTACACTACATATAGTTGTTCCCAAGTGCTATTTAAAGCAATTTAATAGTGTTTCCTTGATTCTCTGTCAGGCTTGTATCTTTGCAGTTAATTTTTTTTTTCAAAGTTTGAGTCTGTTTTGAAAACAACTATAGGGAGGGAGCATGTGCATGCTTGCCTGCATGTGTGTATGTGTTGAAGAGGCCACCCTTTGCATTCTGTGTTGGGACTTATATTTAGCCCTAGGTTGACCATGAAGTGTAAGGCTTTTGAGTTGGTGTTGTCAGAAGCTAGCTTATAATCTTTTCAGTAGGGGGAATACTCTCCAGTAGTTCAAGGGAGGAGAAGGCTGTTTTCTACACTTCACCTCAGTCTCATTGCAACTGCGGGATTCAGGTTGGAATGTCATGGCTCTCTGGTTCTGATTGCCTCATTTTTAACATGACTGTGATAACACTTGACTGTGTCACACCAGTGCTGAGCTGTGGTTATACCCTGGGGGGTTGTGTCATGGATGACAGAAATAGAGAAGATGCTGTATCAGGGATGTTGGCATATTCTGACAACCAGAGTACTGTCCAGGATACCTGGAGAATTCTTCTTAGACTTCTAGTTTGTGCAAAAGCCTGGAATTAACATACTTTCCTTGCTGTTTGGGCATGCTGCAGCCACATCTTTAATGTCCTATGTAGATACACATTTCTGCACATATGCTTTAAGACCTTAATGAAAGATTAGTACCTTATAAAAAGAAAAGATTATGTTTGCTACACTAATCAAAGCTGACCTTTCCTTTCTGGCAACAGTTGTAAGAGTTGTTGTAAAAGAGAGGAGACAGCAGTTCATAAATCCTAGCCTGTAGGCACATGCTGAAAAAGAGAAGGTGGTTCCACTAGTACATGGGTAGGACTGAATTTCCGCAGTCCTATATACCATACTCTTGACCAAATGGAAAAATAGTGGTAGATCTTGACATCAGTGTGTGCAATATCTGTTTTTCATTAGAGACTTGAGGAGCTAAGGGGAACATGTATGGTTAGATAGGTATTCAGCAGTATGAGACAGATCTTGCCTTGTTAACCAAATCACTAGTTGTTAATATTTACATTTTTTAATTTGTCATCATTTACCTAGTCACTTTATATAAATGTGTAATGAATTGTTAGGCTCACATTTGAGTGCATGTGTATCTTTGTAGGGAGTGACAGGGTGAAGTTTGCACATGCTGTATGTGGTTTGCTTTTAATAAATATTGACTGTTAATGCAGGTTCTGAAACTTCTTTGTATGTTCTTTTTTCACAAAATAGGCTAAGAATAAAAAACATTTTAGACTGGAAAAGATCAGAAAAGCCATTAGTACAACAGCCGTGAATTGAAAAACAACCAAGCAAGAGCCTATTTTCTAATGATTATGGTTCTTTTGACTGCTATAGGTGTCTGATCACCCCTTTCTAAGATGCCCCAGTTCTGGAATAGAAATTTTTAGGGCTATTTTCATTTTTTTAATGGGAAAAAGAATAAACAGCAGCATTGAAACAAACAAACAAATGTACATTATTTCCAGACTCAGTGAACTTCTGGTAGTTCTGGTCTTCAATTAATATGGTAGGGAGTTCACTTTGGCTTGTTTCCAGTGACTCAAATGATCAATGCATTTGCCAACAGTCCTTTTCTCACTTAAATCAAGTTGCAAGTCTTACGCTGAGGGGATAATGGTTGCCACATTTCCCTGTGCAATCAGTATACTGTCAGTTCTCATTGTGTTGTGAAGTGTTTCAGGATTCCTTGAATACGAAAGACACTATATCCTTTTCCATCTGAGCAGATAAAAGCTGTTTTAAAAAATGAAGTAATACATTCCTCTTAACAATAAGTGCAGTAATATGAACTTTTGCTCAAATAAACAACTTTATCTGATGTTTTATGTTGTCAAATTGAAAGACTTTGTATAACACAACAAGTTAGTTAGCAGTTATTGCACCTTGCCAAAAATACCTTGTGTGGTACTAGGTAAAGATGTAGTGCTTCCTTGATAGAGATCTTTAAACACACGTGTTTTCTGTGAATAAGATGTGCGTATTTGTTTAACAGAATGCACATCAAGAGGATCTCATCAACAAGAAGTGCAGTTCTGAGCTGCTTTGGTTAAGTTTACAGCCACTGGAAACCAGAAAAGTTGGTGTAATTTTTACACCAGTTGACTACAAAAGAGTAGCTTCCCTTATTTTAATCAGGTAAGCCAAGTTTCAGTTGTAAGTGAGAATCAAACAACTCAATGTAAAAATCAATTTGCCAAATCTTGGAGCAAAGACAAATGGTCAAAATTTGGAAGTCAGAATACCTCCAGTTTAATAAAAATTGCTTAAACGGTCTTTGTGTCTTATGTCTCAGTCATTAAAAAATATAGCCTTTTTTTCTTGATATGCGATCAGTGGCTTATAAAATGCATATGAATGTACTGAGGCAATTTTGAGTTGAGAGCAACACATTGGGTGGCTTTGCTATTTTCAACTTAAATCCATAATGATAGGATTTAAGTATCCAGTGAGTCTAATGCGCAGCCACACACTGGTTATCTCTGGAGGAAAAGAGAGTTTATGGAAGCAGCAACCATTTTTACTAGGTGGCACTGTTGTTATCTGGTGACAGTGGACACAAAGCTTGGTCCTTCGCTGTGTGAAATTCACTGGTGACTGGTTCCAGCGTGATCCTGTCGGTATTTAGGGGAAACCTATCCAGGTGTGTCCAGTGATTCTGTTACTGAAACACTGTTGTCTTGGATTGGCACCTAGATAGCAAAGTCACGGTTTTGCAAACTTCATTTGTGTTTTAGTGGCTGATTGCTTGATTTTTATATTATGGCAGAAACAACTTGACTGTTCTGGACGTGGTCAATGTAGAAGGCTTTGGAGCCAAAGAATTGCTTAAAGTAGGGGGAAGACTGCCCGGTGCAGGAGGGTCTCTTCGATTCAAGGTGCCAGAAGCTACACTAATGGACTGCAGACGACGTGAGTAAGAAGAAACAGGTCTCTGATTTTGTAGCTGGCTGCGTTACTCCGTAGTGGTACTGATACGGTACAGTAATGTTAAGTAAACAGAATGTTGAAATAGAAAAAGCTGAAGAGCTTGGTCATGAGAGGTGTAGATTTTGTTTTCTCAAAACACTGACTGAGGATAGTTACAAATTCTAGAAATACACTACTGCAAAACAGGCTGTATTAAAATGTTGGTCAGTTCAGAGTTCTTTATTAGATTGAAAGTAAAAATAGCATTTTATTTATAAAAGTAAGAAAATAATTTTTAAGCACTGTAAAATAATTATTCTTTTTTTTCCCCCTTTAAGAACTGAAAGACAGCAAGCAAATTCTATCCATTACGAAGAACTTCAAAGTAGAGAATATTGGGCCTCTTCCTATAACAATTTCATCAATGAAAATCAATGGTTACAGTTGCCAAGGATATGGATTTGAAGTGTTAGACTGTCAAGAATTTTTCCTGGCTCAGAACTCATCACGAGAGATCAGCATTGTGTAAGCACTGACAAATTTGCTGACAAATTAACTTAAGTGGAAATTTAAAATAACTAATTTCAGTGTGATGGGTTAACCCTGGCTGGATGCCAGGTACCCACCAAAGCCATTCTATCACTCCCCCATCCTCAGCTGGACAGGGGAGAGAAAAAATATAACGAAAAGCTTGCGGGTCGAGATAAGGACAGGAGAGATCATTCACTAATTACCATCACGGGCAAAACAGACTCAGCTTGGGGAAAATTAACTCAATTTATTACAAATCAACCAGAGTAAGGTAATGAGAAATAAAACCAAATCTCAGAATACCTTCCCTCCACCCCTCCCTTCTTCCCGGGCACAACTTCACTCCCGGATTTCTCCCCCAAGCCCCCCCAGCAGCACAGGGGGACGGGGATGGGGTTTACAGTCATTACACGTTATTTTTTGCTGCTTCAACCCTCCTCAGGGGGAGGGCTCATCACACTCTTCCTCTGCTCCAGCGTGGGGTCCCACCCATGGGAGACAGTCCTCCACGAACTTCTCCAGCATGGTCCTTTCCATGGCATGCAGTCCTTCAGGAGCACACTGCTCCAGCGTGGGTCCCCCACGGGGTCACGCGTCCTGCCAGAAAACCTGCTCCGTGGGCTCCTCTCTCCAAAGATCCGCAGGTCCTGCCAGGAACCTGCTCCAGTGCGGGGTTCCCACAGGGTCACAGCCTCCTTCGGGAACCCACCTGCTCTGGCGTGGGGTCCTCCACGGGCTGCAGGTGGATATCTGCTCCACCGTGGACCTCCCTGGACTGCAGGGGGACAGCCTGCCTCACCAGGGTCTTCACCACGGGCTGCAGGGGAATGTCCGCTCCGGCGCCTGGAGCACCTCCTCCCCCTCCTTCACTGACCTTGGTGTCCACAGGGTTGTTTCTCTTACATGTTCTCACTCCTCTCTCCGGCAGCTGTTTCTCTCTGTCCCAACTTCTTTCCTTCTTAAAAATGTTATCACAGAGGGGTTACCACTATCACTGATTGGCTCGGCCTTGGCTGGCGGCGGGTCCGTCTTAGAGCCGGCTGGTATGGGCTCTCTCGAACACAGGGGAAGCTTCCAGCAGCTTCTTACAGAAGCCACCCCTGTAACCCCCCCGCTACCAAAACCTTGCCACACAAAACCATTACATTCAGTCACAGGCACTCCAGTAGCACACCTGCATACAAAATTTGGTGACCTTGGAGTATAAATTTCATAAGCATTTCCCCTTTTCAGTAAGGGTAATACTAACAAATTGATACTATAATAATGTTTCTTTACAAGACTCCATTATTTTTACAAAGCAGCATACATGCTTTTGTCAGTGCATTATGAAGGAATAAATTAAAGTAAAAGAGTTGTCACAATAAGAGAGTAAGAAATGATTTGCCACTGCCTTTTTTTTTTGATTGTTATTCTCTAGCTTGTTGCAAGTAGCCTGACCACAGTCTAGTCCTGTTTTCCTAATATTGCACATAGTGTAAAACTGATTCTTTTAAAAATCCTGTTGAGTGAAAGTCATGACTTAAGCGTAAGTAGAGTTAATAATACTGTATTACAGTAACTGTGGTTTCATATGCAACAAGTGTCACCACTATTGATTGAAAAGGCAAGTCATACCTTCTAGCAGTACCCATGGCAGTCAAATAGAATATTGGTATAGGTCAGGGAAATAAGTGGAAGGAGACAAATATGATGTTTTCTTCTGCTTTCCCTATCTTTCCAGCCTTGTTCTAGACTTACCCTAGTACCTGACCCTTTCTGAAGTAATGCTGCCTGTATGCTTGACAGCTGTGCTTTTGGTAAAGAGTGTTTTGGTTAACATGAGTTGATCATGTGCACCTCCTTGAAAAAAGGAAAATGAGTCACAGTAATGAGTATTGTGAAGAGTCACAATAAAACCACATATTTTACTGCTTGAAGATGACCTCAAGGTCATACCTGTGTTAGGTGCTAATGCCATCTGCATAGTCTAACCAGACCGTGGTCACTTATTTCATTGTCTTTTTTTCATACTATTAAATCAGAAGGGGTTTTGTATTTTTTGGTATCGGCATGACTTCAGAAAATGAAATTCAGCCCAACGATGGGAAAATAACATCAGGTCTTTCTGCTTTTCCTGATAGATTCACTCCTGACTTTACATCTTCGTGGGTAATCCGGGAGCTTACGCTGGTGACTGCTGCTGATTTGGAGTTCCACTTCACGCTCAACGTGACTCTTCCTCACCATCTGTTACCGCTATGTGCGGATGTGGTGCCAGGACCCAGCTGGGAAGAGTCTTTTTGGAGGCTTACTGTCCTCTTCGTAAGGTAATGCTTTCAGGGCCCCTGCACCGGTTTGAAAGGGACCCGCCAGTGAAAGATCAGCAAGCACTTGTTGTTAGGCTTCTGTTAGATTTTTAGTGGTGATAGGGCCTAAATCTTTACTGCGTCTGTCTCCCGAGAGTCCTGCCAGCTGGCTGTGACAGCTTAGGTGTGGTGCAGTAGCTGGTGATGGATGTCAAGCATTTCTTGCTTCTCCTCCTGATAAACTTCCACATTAAGGCTGCAAAGAAAAAGGAATGCCTAGTGGATACTCCCCTTGCTAGAAGACTTAATCCCACCACAGTAGAGATGGACGTGTAACATACTAGTATCTGAACATCATAAATAAAATTGAGTGGACTGGTAGATTATCTTTAAGTATTTCTTGAAAATAAACATTAATTTAATTTATAAAGTTTCAGACAACCGAGTGAGGACCTGCTTTTCCTTCTGCTTCTTTCCTTCTTTCACTTGTTAAAAAATATTTGTGTTTATTGTTAGATTTTGCTAGGCACTTTGCTAAACAGGCTATCCCAGAAAGATGATTTGGCTTGTGTTAGCTGACTCATTGCTTGCACATGGTAAACTGCTTTTAAGAGGACAACAATTAAGGGTTCTGCTCCTATGCGTATGTTTTTTGTCTTCCTTTACTAACCTTTCACATTGTGTAATGTGAACTGAATGTTGTGTTTATCTCAGATGATGTCCAGTGCTTTTGTCACACCAACCCTGAATTCCTACAGCCAGTACTAACAAACAGCGAGTGTGACTGTCATGGTGATACATACATGTGCCAATGCATAACTAACTGGCATGCTGATGTATACTGTGGTTCTACTTGCATTGTTGTTTTGATATTGAATACAGAGAACAAACGAAGCAGCAATAATGACCACGTTACATGGTTCTAGATGCAACAGAAGGAGACTACAGGGATCTGAAAAATCAGGAATTTCTCATTCTGTTTTCCTGCTGACAAAATCTATACTGCATGATTGAGAAGGTTGTTTGATGAGTTACAAAGATTCTTGTTCTGATTGATTTATATTTGGTGCAGTTAATACACCATAGAGAAAGAGAAGATATTTTGCAGCTTCGCTTTTAGCAGAAGTATGGTGGCATTTTGTAGCCCATTTTATGCCAGCATTTTCTCTAGGAAAAGAAAGAGACAGTATTAACTAAATTATCAAAATAATGACATAACTATCATGAATAAATAGAAGGTACTCAGAGGACTGATAAGTATCATACTATGATATATTGCTATTGTGTTGTAGTGAGACTTACTTCTAACTGATCTTCAAATCAAGTATTAGCTTTTTTAGAATGGATTTTTTCTTTGTAAAGCTCATGGCTGAGTTATGTTATTGAGAGGGCTATAAGGAAAAAAGGAAAAGCATGTTACAACTGTTATTTATTTTAAACTGTATTTTGAGTTTTCTCATCTCTCGTCTTACTTAGAATTTACTAACAAAATATTTGAAAAGCGCATTTTGTTAGAAGCTTTTTAACTCTTTCACTGAATACTCCTGAAAATTGTAAACACCAGTATCTGTTGTTTTCTTTGGCAGTTTGTCCCTGCTTGGAGTGATTCTGATAGCCTTCCAGCAAGCCCAGTACATTCTAGCAGAGTTCATGAAATCAAGACAGAGGCCAAATCCTAGTTCTTCACCGCAGCAGAACAGCAACTCTGTTGACGTAATCAGCTCTGATTCCTACAAGTAAAAATACTCTTTTCTTCTTTTGAATTGCTTTTTTTTTGTACCCTGTTTATTGTGGAGTGGTGCTTTCTATCTGTTTGTATTTTGATATTGCTGTGGGCTGGTTTAGAGGAGATAGTGTTCCAAGCAAACTCCTTCAGAGAGCTTTCAGTGTTGTAGTGTATATTCATCTTCACAAAAGAGAAATGGAAGAACTCAAAGGGTTTATTAATCTTGTATATTGTCAGTGGTATGTAGGGTAGAAATTGTGTGATGGAAGTAAAGGACAGACTGTGTGCGGCAGCCGTGGGAAGAATGGAAAATACATCAGTGGTCCTCAAATCTGACCCTCTTGGGTGGTCAGTTAGGCACTTACTCACTGAAGCATATAAGCGTTTGAAGTCTAAGCACATACTTAGAGTCTTGCTCAACTCTCACTGAAATCAGAATGTGCTTAGCTGGTATGATAAATTGAAGACCTAATGCAGTTTCACAGCTTGTGAATATGCCCCCCTTTCTTTTCTTACAATTCATGATAGCTTTGTATATAAAAACAAATCTCAAATAATTTATTTTTTCACCAGGGGAAGCTGCAAGACATTTATGGATTCCTATAGTTCTTCAGATAAAGGTAAAGGGAAGGGCTTCCTGTCTGTAGGCACTTCATCCAGCCGAAGTCAGAATGCAGCAAAGAGAAGTCCTGCGACCTACAGCCACTCTCAGAAGAAACACAAATGTTCAGTTTACTACAGTAAGCAGAAACCAAACACAGCAGCTGGCAGTGCCATTGCAGCTACTGATGAGAAACAAAGTCAGATTGCAGAGAACCAAATCTCAGCACCAAAAGAGGACATTTGCACTGATGTTGTCAGTGAAAACTGGGTAACTCTAAAATATGCAAATGGCATAAATGTTAACAAGAATTTAACTCTTCCAGAAAACTTTCTGGGTAAAGAAGAAAGTGCACTGAAAAATACAGTTCTCATTAAAAATACTTCTTCAGAATGTGATCTGAAAGAAGATCTTCAAACATGTATGTTTCCTAAGGAAACTAACCTTAAAACTTCAGAAAATCTAGTTGAGCTCAAAGAACAGGAGTTCTGTCCTGTGAAGATGTCCAAGAAGCTACCTGAAAGTCACTTGTCCAGAAATTCACCTCAGCAACAGCCAGAACTGCAAGAAATTTCTAGGAAAAATAGTGGTAATTTTTTTCAATTTCTGTCAGTTGAAATTAGTGGATGAAATCTTCTGTTGAGTTCACTGTGATCAGGATTTTGTCTTTTGCTTGGGACAAGGAGATGTGGTATTTCTTATGTGTTCACTATGATTTATCTGTTTACATTCCTAAGGAAACAGCTTGTGTTAAAATTTGTATCATAAATTTGCCTTGGTTTACATATTTCAAGCTTGTGCTGTAGCATTTTAATGGTTAAAATAATTGATGTCATAGATCTGCTTGTAAGGCATGACGTGCCCTTTTCAAATATTCAGAAACATCCCAGTTTGTGATTTTCAGGTCCACTGAAAATCTGATACCTGATTTTTAGAGTCACCAAGCAAGCATGTTTAGTACTGGATATTCAGAACTTCTTTGATAAAACCACCTAAAATAACAAAAGCTGACACTAGAGTATTGTGAAATTATATTTTGTAGGAATCTGCAGATCAACATTTCTCTTAGTAACTGCATAGCTGTATTTTTTTATTTGGGTGGGGTTTTTTGTTTGTTTGTTTGTTTGTTTTTTTAATTGTGGAACTAAGCTGCCTGGGAAGTCTTACCTCTTAGCTTCACAACTCAAAATTTTAAGAACAGCCTAAGAGCACCTGGAGGAAATCAAGAGCAGGGTAGGAGAATGTGTCCTCTGGAAACTTGGCAAAGGAGTTGAATGCTGAAGACTGGCATTTGCTGTAACTGTGCCAGAGTTTATTTAGTGAGTGAGCCATCATAGAGGGAGTTCAGGCCCTACTGTAGTGTGTAGTTGTTACCCTGGGCCCGTTGCTTCCCATTGTGTCATTATCTGTGAGATACAGCAGGTACAAGTGTGCTGTCTCAGATGGAGGCAGGATAATTTCAATCATACTTACAAAGTACTTTAACATTCTTCATGTGCTCCTAAACTGCAGAGTGTTGTTCGTTCTTTGCTTTGAATTAGAAAATCAGATGGCAGGGAAAAAAGAAAACCAGTAATTATGTCTTAACTGCATTTAGGTGCACAGGAAAGTAACTTTGAGTACAGGCTGCAGATACCATGTTTATACATAAACCAATTGGGAGATACTAGTCTTATTTTCATTGACAAAACTTCCACTTTGAGAGAGTGTTTCTGGAGTACTGATAGTTACTTGTGTTCAGTGGTAAAGCACTACAGGTAATCTGCTGCCTTGTCTTTTAGCAGTTGTGGTTTTCTGCACTGTCAGGAATGTGAATATTTCTGTGTTTTAAGAAGTTTGGTAGGATAAATGAAGTCTAAAGAATACCATGTTGCAGTGTTTGTGTCTTGATTGTAGTTACAGACTTGGTTTTGTACAAACAGGGAGTCTTCAAGACCTCAGGTACTCACATGTTTGTATGCTGGAGAACAACGGAGCGTTTTTCAGAGCTCTGGCAGCCTCACTTGCCTGCTGTCTCCGGTGTTTCATTCACATGGACCCCTTTTGCAGTCATTGTGACTGCCTGCTCCAGAGGGGAGAGGGCGGCTGACTCAGAGCTAGGATGTTGTAGTTGGTTGGTAGGTAGGAAATCATAAAAATGTGTGGGTGTACCTTTCCTGTTTGAGAAGACCAGTTCAATGCAATAAGTGATGGCATTTCGCACGCAGTGCAGCCGAGAGTCTCAGTAGCAGATCGGTGTGGACGTATTGCAGATATTTGAGATACCTGGAACCGATCAGAGCTGAAGTTAATTCTGACATGTCCAGCATTGGCAGGGCCCAGGTGGAGGACGGTGACTTGACTGGGCAATTCAGCTAGTTGTTAAGGGAGGCTGCTTCTCATTTTCTTCACCTCCTGGATTTTGTTAGACAAGACTAGTTCTTCTTCCTCAAAAGTCTCTCAAGAAAATCAATTTTTAACGTAGAACTCATCCTAAAGAAAGGATGACTTCCCTTTGTGTTCATAGTGAATGTAGAGGGCGCTTAGGAGATATAAAGCACCAAATAGAGGCTGTCCTTATTTTGATCTACCCATTTTTGAAAAGTCTTCTCCCCACCCAGCTTGCAGGTTTTTTTAGCCCAGTATTCTCTGGCTTCAGATTCTGCCTTACAGATGCGTGGCTGGGACTCAGCTCAAATTCAGATGAGATGAGCAGGACTTGGGTAATTTATGTATGTGCTAGGGGTGCTGGGCCCATAAGCATGAATCAATACAGAGCTACTTTTTGCAACTGCTGTAAGAATTTTTATACAGCATTAGCTTTTGATTTTGATATTTTCAGTGTTGTCAGCCTAGAGGTTAGTCTCCTAGTCTTTTGGAAAGCAACACAAGTCTGTTTTTAAAAAAAGGTAGAAGATACTGCGGTTATGATTGGGAGCCCATTCCCTTCCCCATCAAATGGATGTTACTGTTTAATTCTAGGGAATAGCCAGCAAGTGCCTCTCAGGAATGAAACAGAAAACTGTGAGACTTTGAAAAAGCAGATCAACCTAAAGCCTTCCACGGAGAAAAAGATTAATAAAGGACCTAAGGAAGAGACTCCATGCTGCGCAAAAGAGGAGATTACTTCTTCTGAGGTTTGTATTGTGATATTTCTGCTTTTCAAATTTAAAATGATTTTTTGTTGTTTATTTATATATGTATGCACCTATAGGTATATATGTGTAGGTAGGGATTATTACATACAGTCACAGATCTGAAAGTGTAAATCAGATGAACGAGGAAGTATGCAGCCATGCTGTCCCACATCCATTTCATATTAATGCTGCTTTATAGAATGATGAACAGTTTGCGTAGTAATTAAAACAGTCCTTGTATTGTGATATTGGCTGTATCACAACCAGAGATACTCTTTGTTATTGCCAGAGCAGGCATAAATGTACTGGAATCTAATGCCAGCTGTCAGCCACAGTAATGATGTGGGAACATACTGGGGGGGGGGGGGGGTGTCCTAGATGGGCATATCAGCCTTCGTTGGCATACCTGATCTCCAAATACAGGGCTTTACATCAGAAATTTTCATGTCAGAATACAGCACGCAGAAGCCCCTTAACAGATTGTGAAGCTGCTGAGTAGGATCATTCTTCACCCCCGGTTTCTGAGCTTGATAAACACAGCAGACTGTGCCTTTGTTGCAGGCAGCATAAAACAGTTAAAAAACTTCATCTGGTAATTAGTAAACCCAAGAATTTGGATTATGTTTGTGTCCTGTCTACTGGGTAGTAATCCCATGGCAGAAAGGTGTAAGGAAGAATTGCTTACCATGCTTGAAGAATATGTATCAGAAAAGACAGGGTCTAGTCTTCCTTTGGGAGCTGTTGTTATGAATTTCTTTCCGTGTGTGGTTGATGGTGCTCAGTTTGTTTCTTGCATTTTTTAAAATGACTGTTATTTGTTGGTTAACTTACCCCATAATTTCCTCAGTTGTAATTGAAATGAATGCTTCCCCCAACCCCCCAGCTGCTGAGGAAAAGGAGGATTTATTGCTCCTGAACTTGCACACAAACTGATCATAAATGTGGCAGATGTTTTTTGGTTTTAGCACATTGGGAATTTTATTGACTGCTTTCCTTTTTCTCCCCCTATTTTTTTGTTTCCCTGGAAGTCAGAGCTAGATGCTGTGAGGGGGAAAATGCTAACATTGGGAATTCAAAAATTTCTCTCATCATCTGTTGGTGTCTTGAAGGACAGAGTCTTGGAAAGGCTGGTCAAATTGATGGTGCTGGAAAGACGATGTGCTGTGGAAAGACACTAAATCATGAAGTAACTATGCATTTGGGTCGGGTCGTTTTGTCCAGAGAAATTTAGCTAGAAAAATCCAATGGAGTTCATTTACTGAGTTAACTTCATTTTATAACGTAGGTATTGTCTCAGCTCATATTTTTACCTTTAGCAAGAAGATGCGTATAGGAAGAAGAAACCTCAGGAGAAGAAGGAAGGAAATGTACCAAATATGAATTGGAATAGAAATAGAACATCTAGAAAAAATAAGAAGAAGAATGTTAATATATCTGCAAGGTATGTATTGCCTCACCAAATCATGAAGAAATCCAGGGTGTTGCTGTAATGTTTCTGCAGGTTTTGCATAGTACATTAGGCAGGATTGCTTTATCTGTTTAAACAAACACACTTTAATCCTGGCCAGAGCCTTTCTTTTTAAGAATGTGCAGTACTAAGTAACACCAGAAAAAAAAATAAAATCTTTTTCCATTTGTAAATCTGCATGTGCATAGACACACCCCATTCGGCATAGCAGTGGTTGCTCTCAGTTATAGTCTGGAATTTGCTCTCTGAAGTTTGGATGGTTAACTTCCTTTCCATTGTGTATTGTGTGGATAAAGTCCAGTCGTGTATTCTCTTCAGTGAAAAAAGGAAAACAAAGTTATTGATATGATTCCACCTTCAGGAGAATCATCTGCTTTATTGAGTAACTGAGGGAATGTTGTCTTCTAGTAGTTTTGGAAGAGGAAGAGAAATATGTAGAAAAGGGACAGTGGCTTGCATTTTTGCTGCAATGATTGAAAAGATTAGAGCAGCACTAGGCTCTTAATTATTTTTTCATATATTTTAAATTTAAGTTATTTTGGTGGTTGTTAAAAAATACCAGTTATAAACTGCTGCTAGAATAGAAACACTTATGAGGAGAAAATCCTCCTTCCCTTCCGCCAGCCCTTTGAATTAAGGTCATGATCCTACAAAGCCTTCACAGATTTAATCTTTATTGCGAGTGGTCCTATTGAGGTCAGTGGACTTAACAAGGAGATTGTAAATCTGAAGGGGTTGTTATAACTCCTTATAAACAAATTACTATTTGTTGTGTGGGAAGTCAGCACATGTAAATCTTTGCAGGGTGCACACCTTTGTAGGTAGGAAGGATAAAAAAATGGAAATAAAATACTGAAATTTGGTGTCTGTTCCTTGAACTGATTCAGCAGTTGCTGCTTTCTGAGTTAAGATGTAACTGTTTCCTTCCTGTAGAAACTTGACAGCTGGATTTTATTCATTTTCCCTTAATACTCTCCGATTATGATATTGGATCCAGATATTTCAGTTTTACTAGCAAAAACTTAAGATTACTTCAGATGATGGTTTTATTCTAGTTATAATTATGCCAATGAAATAGACATAGGGCACATTTTTCTGTGTACCTAGATCTTTGTACAGTGCTAGACTGTGTTTATCACTATAACATCTGATTGCCTCCTGCAAGTGCATTAGAGAATGGAGTTAAACATACACACATTGTTTTGCTTCTCCCCCTGAGAAGCAGTCATCTGTGTGGTGGGATATTGCATTTTGGGAAAGGTTTTTAGGTTTCTGTAAAGTTTGGGAATAAGACTCCTAAACCTATTCCTTGTCCCACATCCTGCTATGATAGCCATGAGTTGAAGTGTTTAATGCCTGAAAAGGAAAAATGCAGCTGAAATGTAAAATGCAAACATGTTTCTTTGGGTGTGGTTGTATTAGGGTCCCTGAGCAGAGCGAGTTGAAGCATATGTGCAGTGAATTTGAAAGGCCGGATCTGAGAGCGAATATTGGAATAAGAGCCTGGTGTCCTCAGGGTAACGGGGAAAATTGTAAAGCAGACCAAAAAGCTGGGAGCTTGTCTATACAAGGAGAAACAGGTATGAAATCTTAATTGTCTTAAACAGGGGAAGAAATGTACTGTGGTTTTTGTGGCAGTAAAGCTGTATTCCCTCCTTGAAAGAGTTGTGCTTCTCTCCCTTTTGAACCCTGATGCGAAGATGGCAGGACCGGCACGACGCAGTGCCTGAAATAATACCTGCTCACTTCTGAAGTGCTCCGCATGCTTTCTCCACGGGGTTGGTTGGTGGTGCAAATCAGAAGATGAATCAGTCTGAAGCCATAATCCATCAGTCCAGGGTGAAGGACTGACAGTCTGCTTGTGTGTTCAAATTAAAGCTGGTATTAACGGAAGCAGCTGTATTGCGAAGGCCACCTTTAGAATAGGCAGGTCATTTTTAAAAAACACCACTAGCTTGGGTTCCTGTTTCCTGCCTTTCTGTCAGGATTTTAATCAGCTGCTTTCCCTGGCTTTTGGGAAGAGGAGGGCTGAAGAAGGTATTAATGTTTATAGGATTGTGCTTTGCTTCCCTGATGAGATAATAAGAAAGGAAAATCTATCGCTTATGAATTCATTGCTTGCAGCATTTGTCATTGCTTTTAGTATGCATGTTCCTACAGCCAGGCTATGTTTCATGTTTAAAATATTAACTATATATTTCAAAGAACAGTATGGGCTTCCTATTTCAAATTATTGCCTCTAACTGCACTGTATCCTCACTTGCATTTATTGTACTGGGGATGTTGTGTACGTCATAAGCTCCTCATGGTAAGGGCTGGTGCATTTATCTTGAGGCTATGAGTAAATATTATTTTCTGTCCTATTATGAGTAAATTCAGAGAATCCATGTAAATTTATATTCCAGATGACTTTTCGCTGAATCTTCAGCTGAAACACTTTCTTAAACGTTTTGTGTTGGGGTTTGTTTGTTGGGTTTTTTTTTTTCAACTTCTTTAGAAAGCTTTTATCAACGGACCAAAAAGAAGTGTTTGGAGAAGTTTTGTTCTGATTCAAGCTCAGACTGTGGAAGTTCATCGGGAAGCGTTCGTGCCAGTCGTGGGAGCTGGGGTAGCTGGAGCAGTACCAGCAGTTCAGATGGAGATAAAAAGCCCATGATTACTGCCAGGCATTTTCTTCCATCCAGTAAGTTCTGCAAATACCACCTCTGCACAGTAGTGGGCAGAGTTTCAGCCTTCCTTCTGAATGGAAAGGGGTGCTGTGGTGTGGGGCACGTAACTTGCCTTTTATAGGGCACCTCTCAGAAACACGAGGAGGGATTTAAAGAACTTGGTACTTGGAAAAAAAAAGTACCACAAGTTTTGTGGGGATGAAGATGAGCTGTCAGGCTACAGAGAAAGTATCAGGCTCCTCACTGAGGAAGGTGCACAATTATTTTTCATGGAAAGGTGGAAGAACTGGGGGTCACCAGCCAAAGCAATTTTTGCCTTTGAATTTATGTTACATCACATTATTCTCTTAAAAACGTTATAGCTGTTTAAGAAATCTACAAATGAGAAATGTGTGAAAGCAGTTCAGATCTGAGGATGCTGGGATTGGATAGCTGTATTTGAGGCATAAGTAGGCAGGAGACCTGAGCCACTTGCCTAGTATGAGAAATGGGAACTGTGGTTCATTACTGCAGTTTTTTGAATGCCTGAATATCATTCAAATAGTTGAAAGCCTAAGCCCTGTCACTGCCATCACTATCCAGATTGATGTAGCACTAGATGTAAATTTTAAAGAAGAATAAAGAAAAGTAAACCCAGCTTTGAGTACCTGAAAAAAGCTGTTTTGAATAATTTAAAAATATGCATGCACTTACATACACATACATGTATTTGTGTATGTGTAAAACTTTGCATTACCAAAAGTATATTATATCTGAAGCTGCGATTCAATAGATAATGAACTGTGTGTACATGACTTTTCTGTTTGTTCAAATTGTAATGCCTCTTAAAAAAAAGAAAATAAGTAATTTTAAATTCAAAATGAATTTGGTAGTAACAAGGAACCTCTCCATTAAGTGTGGTAATCACTTATGAGTCATAAAATACATTTAAGACCATGTGGATGTAAATAGCACGCTTTGAAATTAGTGCAGTTAGTGATACTCCGGTCTGAGAGAAAATTTTATTAATATCATTGATGATTCTGTTTATGTGTATGTATATTCTGTGCATACTTCTTTTTTTAGGATCTTTGATTTTCACAGTCATTCTTTTCTTTAGGAGAGAATATTTCACAAAATGATTTTCCATCTGAAACTCCTATCACTTTAAATCTGTCTCATAACATCTGCAATACCAGGTAAAAAATTTGAATCTACACCTGTAAGACATTAAAGAAACACCACCAACTTGAAATTTTGTCTCAGTTAGTTAAATTATACCTACCTGTTGTCTTGCCATTTTTTGTGATAATCTAATTGTACTTACTAGTTGGAAGAAGAATAATCTTCTTCAGTACATTAAAAGATATATGCAAAATGGATTATGCTGGGGAAATACAATAAATGCTTCCAAATGTAAAATAAAATTGGGGAAAAAAGGAAATTGTTCTTCCCCTCTCATTTTTTCCAGCTTACTACATTTCCATTACCACTTAGTTATATTAAAGTAATAATGGTTTAAAAAAAAAAAGGTGGGAGTGAGACTTTCAAGTTGATGTTATTCTTTTAATGGGAATAATGTTCTCCTAGGATATACAGCATGAAAATTGATTCCCCCCTCCCCCACATTCCTTTCTATCTCTTTACTGTAGTAGAGATAGCATCTCCAATTTTTATTACTACGAGTCCTCATTTCACTTCTCATTCATGACTGTCTGTTTTCACTAGCAGAAGTAATTTAATCCTTTTCCTCTGGTATTCTGGTGCTTGAAAATGTTCTCTTTCCATTCATATTGACTAGTTTTTTTCACGGGATTCGATGAATATGAAATTGATGTTCATGTGTGCCTATGTGTTTTCAGGCACATAAAAGTAAACTTGCCTGAAAGTTGTTTGGAGCATTGAAACGTTATGAGAGATCCTACTCATCTTTATGGACTATAGCTTGTTTTCCAATTTTAGAGAAGAGCTGTTGAATTAATTTGCAATAGGTTGATACTTTGATAATAAAAGTGGGGTAATTAAGACGTATTAATTTTATTCTTTTTGCATATGTATAAAATAGCTGGCTTTTAATTGGAGGGAAAAAAACTTTAAAAAAATTGCACAGTGGTTGATAAGAAAAACCAGAAAATAGTGGAAAGCAATAGCAATCATGATGTTGATGAGAATATTTTTTACATCTTTGTATATTTCCTTTGAAATAGTTTGCATTATGAAACATTACAGTGTCCAGACTTAAGAAATCAAATTTTCTTTTCATTCAGCAGAGACATGAACAGCATCCCCCAATATCCTGAAACCTTATGTCCGAATTTCACTGACATAGCTGCAGATCCCGACAAAAATAAAGGTCAGTTACTTCATTAACAACTGAAGCTTTTTTTTTTGCACACTTTGTCAAGCAGTTTCAGTGATGTTGCTGTATGCCAACTTGGTAAGACATGTTGTTACTAGAACTTGAATTCTAAATGAGTTAAGAGCAAAGTTAGCAAATGAAGGCTTAAAATCTTGACATTTTTTGCTGCATTTTCTCTGTGTGAAGACAGCATTTAGCTTTCAACTCACATGTTAGGTCTTCTTTGTTTTTTTTCTCCTCTTGCTTTGCACAGATTTATGTCCAAAAGTAATGTGGTTGGGAAGTCAAGAGCACTGGTTGCTGTGTTAAAATGAAACTCGGCATCAAATCAGATATGACCATTTTTCTCTCTCAATTTCCAGTCGGAACTTGCTCTCTTTGAAAGCAATAATGAATGAGGTTGGGTTGGGCTGTTAAAAGTCTTGAGTTTTCATTGTATCTCCAAGGGAAGTAATATTAACTTGTTGAGTGGGATTCATAAAAGCAACAGGCTACATGGTGACTTTGAAAGCTGGTTAGGAGACATGGTTCTTTGGGCAGCAGAACTGCCTGCCCATGGCTGTCCTTTCTGCTGTAGGTTTAACCTGTGTCTGGTAGGATACAAATGCTGATTAAACTTTTTCTGTGGTGGCAATATTCATAATATCTATTGTGTGAAATAATGAAACAGAGCTAACTTTGCAACTGTTGTCTCATGGAGAGTGCTCCTTTGGATTTTTTCCTTTCTCCAGCTGCCTGTTCTCACAGAGTTGATAGGAACCAAGTATCTGTGGGTAGTCAGGGGACTCAGTCCGTAGAGAGCAGCACAATGAATATCTGCCCTAGGGGCTAAATACAGCCGCAACAAGTTCATGTATTGTTTGGTTGTGAATGGCTCTTGTCTATTAAAAACCCGTCCCTGTTCCTGCTGCATTCATGCGGTTGGACTTCAGAGATGGTTACTGACTGATGGGTGGGGTTGAGGGGGAGGCTGGTGGGGATCCACCTCCCTGCTGTCTGTCCTGCTGTGAGGAAGGGTGCTGCCTTGGCACTGGCAGCTGATGACTTAAGGACTTGCTATAGGAATTTCTTGCCCTGTTTTGTTGAATTTCAGCTTCTTGGTTCAAGTTTTTTTTTATACATACATTTTTAGAAAATAGAAATTTTGAGGTTTGTTTAAAGATGGACATTCATCACAAAAAATGTAATTGGTTAGTAATACTGGATTTTTTATCTAGCATAAGAATAAAGTGTCATTGTGATATTCAGAGTTTGTGGAGCCTCCTTCCTGTTGTTCTGCATTTCATTCCCTTTTCCCTTTTTAGGTCTTTACCCAACAGGAGACTTGTGGCCTGCCCAGCCAGTCTGCCTGACAAACAGTTTAAACTACAACCTTGAGAATAATATACCGTGCATGATCCAAGAAACCCCCTCTGTCCACAACAGGCAAGTTATGTTCTATGTAAATAGTATGGATAACACTTTGTTCAGGTTTCTGTGATGCAGAGGACTGTACTTGAGCTTATCTTATAATATTTGTAAGGCAGGTGATAGTTAAAGTAAAATTCTTGCTGTCACTTCAATCTTAGTTCTAGTTGTTTGTGCTCTTCCATTAGTACACCATGATTAATTTTGCTAAGACAAATTCACTGGTGTTCCTGCTTATATATAGATATTCCAGAACTTCTTTCAAAATTAATTAAATACTTTTTGGAGAGCTTTTAATTTCTTCCACTTCTTTTGCATAAGGCCTGACTTCTAGGTTCGTTGCCCTCTTGCTAAATACATAGCTTCTATATATCATGGGGTGTGTTCTGCAGTGTGTACTCGTGTTAAATGGCACGGACAGACATTGTTAAATAAAGGCAAATAGTCCAGTTTGAAGGTGGTGTAAGGATACAAGTTGGTCTCATTGTTTGAGGCTCTCTGTTGGGTTGACCTTCCTGTAGTAATGAACTTGAGTAATTCTTGTACTGTAGACTCTCCACACCGCAAATTTTACTAATGAAAGATGCACCTCTAACCAGTGAGAAGAAATACTCTGCCACCACACAGCAGTGAAATATGGCCAGTTCTTCAAATCATATCCTGTCATTCAAAATGACAGAGTGGTAACACAGAAATCCCCAAGTGATGGTCTTGTGATCTCAACCAGCCTGCTAACCTCAATTCTAACTGTCATGTCAACAAACTGCAGCCCTAATGATTGGGAGCAATGGCCAGCAGTCTGTCCGACTCTCAAGTCAGATGAAATACCTGGTGATTTGTGGCAGATTCTGTATTATGCTACTTTGCTTTCATATGCCCATCTCAATTTGGGCTTCATATGCAAAACTACATGTAATTATTTATTCATATGTAGTAGTGATAACTTAGAGTAACTTCTCGCCTGAAGAGTAAAACTGAATTAGCACAATGTGAAATCCTTTTGTGTGCCTACCTTGTCCAGACTAGGTCCAAACTTGGACTTCTTCAGGCTCACTGCATAGCGGGGCTTGTTACACTTCTGACATATCTTTAAGAATTACTTTTGAAAAGTCTTCTTGAGATTCTGAAATTATTTTAGTGAAAACAAGTCCCTACAAATTAATGTGTAGTTTAGAAAACATAATTGTTTAACAGGACTTTTAACACATGGTAGGGAAAGTAGAAATCCCCATTTTAATTGCTATTCTCAGGCATCCAAATGCTTGAGAATGCATTACATTTTCTTCTATTTAAAGACACATTATTTCACTTTGTATCTACCATTACCATGGCTGTGGGAAAGAAGTACAATTATTTTCTTTTTACAGAGGAATAAGTTGAGCCCAGTTAGGTGTTGCAGGACTCTGGTAGCTGTCATTACAAGTTCTTTATCCTCCCAGAGGAAAAAAAGCTCAGTGAGAAGATCGCTGTGATTACATAGTGGCACAGAGTAGGTACTGGCGGAACTGGCAAGCGGAATGTGAAAAGCCTCATCGTCAGTTACAGGCATTTTGCATCCAACAGCTTTACATTAAATAAGTATTTCTAAATAATTTTCAGAAGTTCTGCAAATTGTTTCTGACAGCAGATTTTTCTTTTTCTTGGGACAGCTTCATCGACTGGAATGCAGCTTGTGACAGCCAGTTTTCCAACATGTATTGTCCACTAGAGATGAATGAATATGGTGCTTTCCCAGAAGGTAGGATAAAGTAAAGCTTATGAATTATCACTGAGCATGGTTTTTTCTCTCACCTTTTGTAGAACAAAAGGCTGAGCTTGTCTATAAACATCTGGGCGTTCATTGCTTAAGCGGACTTTACGGTTTCCAGCTGACTGGGTGCTTTGTAGTAATAAACAATGTCTGCATGTGACAGATGAGAAGACTGATCTTCGTATGGAGTTGTTAAGCCTGGAAAGCCAGTATACAGGACTGTGTCTGAGAGGGAATAGAGAGAAATGCTTGTGACCACAGTATTACACAAATCTTTTTGCACAATTTTCTTTGTTTCCCCTCTGGCAGACTTCTGCTTTCCAGTGTGTGAAACAGAACGCCTCTTGTGACCAATTACCTTTCCAGGCTAGAGTTTCTTGGCTTGGGAAGCACACTGGCAGCAACCTAGAATTCTTTAGCATTACCTAAGCAATAATTAAAGGTCAGGCTACAGTATCACAGGCAGCACGGTGATCCCTTGGGTGCTTAGAGCTGAGGCATGTTGGCAATGAAGCCTGGGTAGGCTCTGCCATGCACGTTCTGTGGCTAATAAAGACTCTGTTCTCCATTAGAGAGATTGCCAACTCTTTATCCTGTCCTCCTGATAGCAATTTGTTAGTGGGTCCCTAATACAGAGTGGTAGTCTTGTTAACAGAAATTGTTACACTTTGCTGCTGTGCTGCTCTGAAGCTGCCTGAAGTCACTGAAGGTTTAGGTCGGTTCCAGCCTGGCTCACTCCGAGAAGATTCAATGTTCCTCCACAGAAATGTTGGTAGTGTTTATATTGCAAAAACCTTATTTTGTCTTCCTGCTTTTGTAAACCACAGAAAACATGAACTACCCCAGTGGCTTCCCGGGCACTGCAGCGGTACAGAATACAGCCTTCATTGACCAGAACTGTCCCTCCACCTGGAACGCGCCTCCCAACATGCCACCTACCTGGGAGCCCGCCAGTTACGTCAACTCCACAGTGAGTATTGTCACTGCAAGGCGCTGCCTTTGTGTGCCTCTTCAAAGCCTTTCCAGTGAATTCCAGTCTTTCCCCTACCTGTTGCTCACACGTTCTTCATGAATCCTTCAAGTAGCCTGATGTATGTATTTGATGCTGGCATTTGTAGTGTGGCTTTTTCCCAGCTGTTGGTCAAGGTTGTTACTGGACCTTGTCTGTGAAATTTTAAGACAGATCCTTTTGCCTGAAAATTGACTAAAATTAACTTGCATATGGAAAAATATTTTGGACTTATGTAGTCTACTGAGACCTTTTCCTATCAAAATCAGCCTTTCCAGATGAGGGTAAAACAGAAGAAGTGCTGACAGCAAAACCCAAAGAGATTTGGAAACTGTAGACCTGAATGGACAGCTGCTGTCAGTGACTTCGACAGGGTTTTTTTGCTAGGAAATCCAAGTGATTTAAGCTGGATTTGTGCAGATTTCTGAATGCTGACTTTGACCTGTTACACTCCAGACTAGCCATTTTTAGGTCATCCCATAGTGCAATGTAGTGACTTCAGTTCAAGGTGGTCTTTCTGCTCATATTTCAAAATCTTCTGGTTTAGAATTTTTTTTTTTTTTTATTTACAGTAGGTTTATTTTGAATAAAACTAACCAAATAAAGCAAGAAATATTTCCGACTGCAAAAGTGAAAATTCTGCTGTGTTAAAAAGTGGCAAAACTGGTAGAAGACTGTTTCCTAAAATAAACATGGCTTTATTTCATATTTTATTCAGGAATGCCAGGAAACACAGAAGGTAGAGATTGGAAAATACATTAGATAATTCAGTTCATTTCCCTGGCGAGCTTTTCCCCACAATACATTTCAGTGTTTCATTCAGTTTTAAAAGTCCCAAGACTTCCATGACCTTCTCTGAGAGACTTCCTCACAGACTAACACATCTTGCCCTCCAGGAGGTTCTTTATAAGCTTTCAAAATTTTCTAACCAAATTCCCTAGCTCCCAATTATAGTCCCTCTTCCATACTGAATATCCCTCTCTGCTCCTGGCATGCATATTCTTTCAGTACTGACACATACTTCAACCTTTTTCTTGTCATTTCTTAGGGGTCCTCTTTTAATTTTAACTCTCAAAACATGCATGGTGCTCTTCACGTGTCTTCCATTTCTCCCTTATTTTTCTTAACAGCCTGACCAGAACTGAATATCGTACTCCTGTTACAGTAATATTGATGCCATGCAGGGAGGAGCTCATATGGCTTCATTTAGTGAAGTGCCTTTGCACACACACACACTAATGCTGCTGTAATATTTTCTGCAACCATATTGCTTTGTAAACTCACGTGCAGTTTTCTCCTTGTGTGTTTCCTAAATTCTCTGCATAAATGCTGCTTCCTCCCATTCAGTACTACGCTTCCACGTTTTCTTTGGCAAATGGTTCATTTTGCAGTTTCCCATGCTGATTTTATCTTGCCCTACAGCCCTACCTCTCAAGCACCCGAAGCTTGTCTCCAATGTCTGGACTTTTTGGTTCCATCTGGGCACCCCAGAGTGATATTTATGAAAGCTGCTGCCCCGTCAGTGCCACGACCCAACACTCAACCCACGTGGAGAACCAGGCAGTTATGTGTAAGCAGGAATACTATCCGAGGTTTAACCCCTTCCGTGCCTACATGAACTTGGACATATGGACTACAGCAGCCAATCGAAATGCAAATTTCCCACTTTCGAGGGACTCGGGTTACTGTGGAAATGTGTGAAAGGCATTTGATTTAAAAATGTGAATAAAGATGCTTGCAATTTTGATTACTAGAGTAAGCTGGTTGTTGAATAGATTACAATGTTGGTGGATATTTTGGCACTTTTATATTGAAAATAAATTTTTTTTTACTGAAGTCTGAGCATTCAGTGCATTTTAAAAAGCAAAGCATATTCAGGATGCTGTTATTGTCAGGTGAAGGCTATAAATTTAAAACTCAAATTTTTTCAAGAATAAGGTTAGTATTAGATTCTTAAAAGCATTCATGAACCTGTACTGCACATGTTTCTTCTGAAGTTTACATTCTGTGGTATAAGCTAGGAGTGGTTTAGCATTTGTAGGTACAAACTTAGACCTGTAAGTAATCACATCTGTACCAAACAGTAACACTGGGGACCTGCCTGGTGATGCAGATCAAAGATTTTCCAAGTGGTGCCACTTCTACTGCTGACAGTTATTTGTGGGTGTAAACTTCTGGCAGTAGAAAAAAGGCTGAATTGTGGCTTGTTTATCTGGCTTCAAAATGCAAGCTGTCACTTGGACGATGTTATGCTTGTGCAGTGTGGGTAAGTGGGCATTTCTTCCAGGAGCTTTTCTTGCGAATGACTCCTGACATTTTGCGTTTATATTTTTAGCCTTCATGTTGCAATAGCATTTTCAGTGCATTTAATTGCCCTTGTTTAAAATGCCAGAGCTTGAGCTGGAACAAATATTTCTTTGAGAGCAGAGTTCACACTCTCCAAAACAGAACAGCATTGTGTCAGCTCATGTTATGAGACTGCATCTTTGTAGTGGGAAAGGCAACCAGGGAAGCACTGCCACCCATGTCAGGGCTGAATCCATCATGCAAGCTGTCTCTGCTTACTGTTCCTGTAGAGCCTTTTCTTCTGGCATGGCAGAGTGTGTCTGGGCATCTTCACTTCTGGGTGTCAAAGAGGGGAAGGCATCCCTTAGATTCAGACATGTCTTCGTCAAGGGGACTTGTTAAGCCTGGAGAGAGAGTGAAGGGGGATCCAGTAGCAGCCTTGTACAGCTGCTTGAAGGAGAGCCATAAAGATGGCAGAACCAAAGCGTGTGTGGTGGCTGCAGGGGTTACGGCAAATGGCAGCAGTCACAGGTTGCCACATGGGAGCTTCAGGTTGAACATGGGGAACAGAGACTTCCCTTGGAGGGTGGTGCTGCAGAACAGGTTGCCCCAAGGGGTGGACAGATCTCTGTGTTTGGAGGTGTTCACGACGTGGCTGAATGAAGCCGTGCATGACCTGCTGTAGTGGTGGTGGCAGTCTGACCTCGTGGGAGGTTGGACTAGAGACCACCAGGGTCCAGTCACCATTTTGAGGATTCTATGAACTTGAGCAAGTTCCTTACTTTTTGTTACTTCAATTGTTTTCCTCTTGTCCTTTGAACACAGACTGACTGGACGACAAGAACTCTGATGAAAAGATGTTGAGGCTTTTGCATTTGTTTTTATTCAAAGGCAGAGGAGGAGAGGCGCTTCAAAATAGCTGACAGCCTGCATGCAAGGCTACTCCACAGTCTGGGCTCCCGGACCTAAATTCTCACTGTGTTGCTGAGCTATCAGACCAGCTCCTCCAACTTGCCGATTTCCAGAAATGCCATCCCAGGTCTTGAAATGTTTCACTGGAAACAGCGCATTTCCACAAAAAGTTTGCTTCAGTAAATCAACAGTTCCTGCAAAGAAAGCTTTGCTGAAAGATGTCCTGCCAGCTATGCTTTCATGTGCATTTGAGTTAGCTCAGAAGGAGGTAGCGACTGGGTGGGATACTCAAAAGGTGCTATGTTTACCCGCTTTAGCTGCTCATGCAGAAGGTGCTCCTAAGCCTTCCTTCGGTTTCAATGTCAGAAAAGTGGAATCGTCACTGAATGCTTTTCCAAACTGTGGTGTTTTAATTGCTTGATCAGGAACTAGCGCCTGGAGTCTCTGGCTGCTTTCTATGATGCATCATGCTGGGCAGGAATCTGTTTGACTCTGGAGTTTAATCATAATTGCTTGTCATTCTGAAGGAAATTTCACGTGTTCATATGAACTTTGATGCTCCTGAATTCAGTACTAAGCCATGAAAAGTAGTCATAACCACTGACATGCTTTCTGTGCACCTCTTGCCTGTGGCAGGAGACTTTAGGAGGAATAGACTGGGAGTGCGAACAAAATAAATACAGATTAAAAAAAAGTGATCATTTGGTTTGAAATGCGATGAAGTTCTTTGTTCCCTGGATAATGCTGCTTGTTGTATAGCATGTTCATTGAATTTTGGATGTGCAAAGGCACAGGAGAGGAGAGAGTACGTGCAAAGCTGTGCTTAGTTAGGTTACTCAGCTCATTCTGTTAATTCTGTTAATTGTTTTAAGGAAATCTGTATTTTCTGTGCACTGAAGTGAAGGTTTTCCTCAATTACCAGTGTAAGGAGATGCTTTTCTTATATCTGCAACAAACTGTAACAACAGCAAAACCCCACAGAGTTCTCTGATCGGCACCAAGTCCCTGTTGTAAGTAATGTGTATGTTCCAGACAGAATAAATCACTGGGAAAGAGAGAAAAAACCCATGCAATAAACCAAGCAAAGACACTGGAGAGTTCAGGGAGAGCAAAAAAAGTTAGAAATGTTTGGAAAAGATGACCTCTGCAAAAAAGTTGGTTGGAGTTGTTAAAGTGCCAGGAAAAGACAAGGGAAATGAGCCGCAAACAACTTGAGAAATAATGCTAAGAAAGAAAATGATCATTCTCTTTAATCAAACCAGAACAGATCAAGAAGTAATTCCCCCAGGAGCTGTGTAGTATTAGGCAAAGTATTTCATATAACTTTTCGTAACAATAACTAAGGAATGTAACAAGCTCATTAAGATTACCAGGAATAATTGCTGCCATCAGGAGACAGCTGTAGCTTAATTAGCAAACCACTGAATGCAAGTGGATTTGGGCTCAGTTGAAAATAATTCCTCCTACAGTAAAGGGGAAGATGAAATAAATAATTCCACTACAAATTTCTACCAAAATTATTATAATGCTACTGGAGTGAAACTGAAGAGGTTGCTCTAAAGACATCTCATTATTGTGAGCAAAATAATTCCCAATTTCTTGCCTTGTGGTGGGAATTCCTTATAGCAGGATTGGGAGCTTCACTGATCTCTCTCAAACTGGTAGCTTTTTTTTTTTTTTTTTTATTCTGAGAAACTTCAGCAAATGAAGTTCCCGGTTAACCCAAGAAATGCTTAAGATTGCAAAGGGAAGAACAAAAATACCAGTATAAAAGAGGAATAGCTTGCACAGTTCACTAGTAGGGCTGGGGTTGGAGAGGGGTGAAAATTATGGGCAGTTCCAAGCATTCAGTGTTAATTTCTGTCACAGTGTGAATGCTACATAAACTCAGGACATTCAGTGTTTTCCCAAGAAGAGACCTGGGAGAAGCGACAGCCACCCCTGCTTCCCACTCCCAGCAGGTTTGTGGCTTCTTATACTGTATCGGGAACTGGGTGTACCCAGTTATCACTGTCCTTCATTTGCACAGGCCCTCTTGGCTAAGCCTGCCTGGTTGGTCCAGTATTTCCATTCTGGAGCCAGAGAATATTCTTGGCACATTTCATGAAGGTTTATAGGTACTATGAGAGGCAGCATTTGGACAAAGCCAGCATCTACTACAGGGATGTTCAGCTGCCCTAGCCTTGCCAGGCTGCAGCAAGCCCCTCCTGTGGCTGAGATTCGCAAGCCCCTCATAGCATTGAGCTGGAGAGCTACGGGAAGAGGAACATCCAATGCAGCTTCCCTGTAGGAGAGAGCAGTGCTCCACTGGGACCCTGTTTCTTGGTAAGTGGGGCTGGTACGGTGTTGAGCTTGCTTCTGCAGGGAGGGATTTGGACTACCCAGCAGCCTGGCTGCCACTGGTGCAGCCTGGGAGCCGGGTTTGAACTGCTGGGGAACAACAGACTGGCCAGACTGAGCTGCAGATATTGCCTGTGGGGTTCAAAGCATGTAGGGGACGGTACAAATCCCCGAAGGCAGGCTCAGCTGGGGACCACGGTTGTTGCTTGCTCTCATGACTTTGTCAGGAGCATGGTGGCAATTGGCGGGTCTGTCCTACAGCTCCTGCAGCTGGACGTGGGCACGCAGGACCGAGGGCATCCAGCCGCTTGAAGGAGCAATGACCAGCACGCAGCTTTACGTTACGCTTGCAGAAATGAGCCTGAAAGCTCTGAGAGATCTGATTGCCAGGGGGCAAAGGTACTCATTAAAGAGAGCTGTTAACTATCTTAATCTGCTGAAGAGGGCGGAAGGGGAGGAAGCAGGGGAGGTGCTCACCACCTGCACTTGGGGCTGGCAGTGCCCTCAGCTCCAGCACTCGGCTTCTCTCTGCCTCGGGAGAAGCCCCGGTGCTGCCTGGGAAGCCGCAGCCTCGACAGCACCGCAGATTCCCTCAGAGGCGGCACGGCTATCCTTCCAGGTGAGCTCTTTACGGTGGTAGGTTGGGTGTTGCTTTCCGGCATTTGCTTTCTTCCCTTCCAGCCTCAGGGAACACCTGTTGTTCATTTTTCTTAGTCATCAAGTTGCCTCCATCTTCTTTTGCTCTCTCCACGTACTTGCCTTGCTTTCAGCAATTTGTGGAAAAGGTGCATGTCGGCACCTCCCCGTCATCATGGGCGCATTTTACTTGTACCTTTGATTGTCCCATCCCGTTGTTCAGTCTGCCTGTCCGCTTCTACGGGGGAAATGGGTCAGGGCAAGGCTTACTGCATCTTCTTCTGCAGCACCCTTGGGTGGGCTGAGGGCTCACTGTCTCCCCAGGACTGCTGTGCTGCTGTGGCCGTCCTTTGTCCCAGTGGTAATGCAACACTCACCCTGCCTTTCTGACAGGTGGGGGGTTGGCAGAGATAGGTGTGCCAGCTGGAGAAGGACGTCACTGGCGTTGGTTGGGGCAGTTGGCTAGTCCTGAACTGGAGGAGGCTCTGCTGGACGAGACCCAGCGATGCTCCCTGTCTCCGCGAGCTGGGGGACATGGACGAGCGGGAGGCAGTGGGCGAGCTGTACTCTGCCCCGTTGTGGGTGAGTGACAAGAGCAGAGCAGGGGGAGGATTTATTGTCCCAGCCCTATAAGGCAGTGTTGCAACTGAGGTCCTGGGAGC